GAAGAGTGCGCGTGCAGAGGGCTGGGCGCACAGCACTGGCAGCGGGTGGGGTCTGGAGAAGCACTTCACTGCTGGCTCCCCAAGTCCGCCCATGCAGGTTTTCCTCGGCACCCCCCCCCCAGGCCATGGGGCTGCCAACTGGGAGCTTACCAGCTGCTGTCTTTTATTAGGTTGGTCTCTCTGGTACCTGGCGTTACATTTTATAGCACATATAGCCCAGCCTGACGTCGTTGTTGTTATTACAATTATTAATGATATTATTATTAGCTGTTGCAGTTTTTCCAGGTTGTATGGCCGTAGTCTCGGCATTGTAGGACCTGACGTTTTGCCAGCACCTGTATAACTGGCATCCTCAGAGGTATGACAGCCACTGGCGAAACGTCGGGTCCTACAGTGCCAAGACCACGGCCATACAACCCGGAAAATCTGCAACAGCTGATGAACTCCGGCCGAGAAAGCCTTCGACAACACAGTGATATTATTATTATTATTATTTTATTTTTATTTTAAATTTATGAATCGCCCCATCCCATGAATGGGCCCTGAGCAATTTGCAACGTTAACAAGTAAAACAGATAACATATAATCGATGCATTAAAACTATCACAATATATTAATAAAACAACCAGTTCAGATGGCGATCCACCCCTTTTGCCGGCTGCTGGGCGCTCTGTGCAGCAGGGCAGGGAAGAGGGCGTGGGGGCCGGAAGAGGGAAAGGAGGGTGCCAGTCATAACAGTTGCTAAAAGTCTGGCGGGACTTCTGTGCAGGGGCCACCAGTAAGTTGTTATCTGCTGATCTCGGCGTTCTTCTGGGGACATATTGGAGGTGACATTTACGTGAGATCCGACCCTCGTAACAAATGAGCGCAGCACCTCTCCCTTGCCATATTTATTCCACCATTTATGCAGAATAGTGAAGGGCGGGGTATAAGTCCAATCTTCTTTTCTAGCTCGTTCACGGCTGCAATTCCCAGTCAGTCTCCTCCTGATTTATTAAAAAAGAACATGGTGGCCATGTTCTTTTTTAGTCGATCATTTCAGCTTCAGGGCAGTTCTGGTCACCACGCCACATTGCCAATTGCAGGGGGGGCCCAGAAAAACGCCCCCTGCTCCAGCTCTCTCTCCAAGAGTGCTGGTCGAGCTCTCCCGACAAACGGGAGGCTCAAACAAAGCGAAAGTGGATCAGGTGGGGCTTGGAGCAAGCCGAGCGCCCATCCGTCGACGCATTGTACCGGAAGTTCCTGTCTCCTCCTGATTTATTAGTGGGAATCTCCCTTTGGGTTGATGATGGAGCCAAGGAATAGAAACTCTTGAACAATTTCAATGTCCTCATTGTTATCCTTAGAGAGTCAAGCATGGTGTAATGGTTACAGTGTTCAGCTAGGGCCTGGGAAACCCCAGGTTCAGATGATCCCCACTCTTGACTGCTCTTTGCTGAAGGACAATTCTACTGAGGACGCTTTGGCGAAACAATCTTTGGAAGGCATTTTCTGGACCAGAAATTATCATCAGTGAAACACCACTTGGCATGCGATTGCATCTCTGGAGGCCTCATTTGTACTTTTATTCTGTGCCTAGTGGTTTCACTTCGGAACAATTCTTTTCTGGTCCATCTTGTATCTATGTTACATAATTGTATGATTGTATTAAGAACATAAGAGATGCCAATGTTGGATCAAGCCAAAGGCCCATCCAGTCCAACACTCTGTGTCACACAGTGGCCAGAAATACCAGGTGCCATTTGGAGGTCCACCAGAGGGGCCAGGACACTAGAACCCCTCCCACTGTTGACCCCCCCCCCAAGCACCAAGATGACAGAGCATCACTTGCCCCAGAGCCCCTATCTATACCTTGTGGCCACTGATGGACCTCTGCTCCATATGCCTATCTAATTCCCTCTTGAAGCTGTCCATGCTTGTAGCCACCGCCACCACCTCCTGTGGCAGTGAATTCCATGAACTGTATTGTACTATGATATAAGCCAATATGTTCCTCATTATGTTTGACCTCTGAAGAAGGCCTATACAGATCAAAACACGTCAGGTCAAGTCCATTGGCCCCGGTGTACTAAATTTTGGCATTTTTACATGAGGTGTGATTGGGCCCTTAGATGCTTTTTAATTCTTTCTTAATAAATACATGTATCTTTCCATACGATATATATATTAAGTTTTTATTGTTGGCCCTCTATTGTTTGACTTACCTTTTTAGGTTCTGGATCCCAGGTTTCAGGGTTAAGTCCCCCCCCCCTTTTTGCCCCTCGTCAAATCCCCACTCATGCCATGGGAGCTCTCGCTGGGTGACCTTGGGCCAGTCACGCTCTCTAACCTACCTCACAGGGTTGCTGTGAGGATAAAATGGAGAACAACAGTTGCTTTGGGTCCCCCGCTGGGGAGAAAGGCAGGTATACATGAAGTAAATAATTAAAAAAATAAATGGCATAATTCCCCCCGTAGCCATTACTTTTCTTCTTCTTGGCATTCAGCTGTACTCCTGGCTCTGACACTTCCTGCTTTAACCTTCAGCCGGAGTTGTTTCCAGTCTTCCCTGTTTTTTGACAGTAATGGGGCATCCGCTGCCTGCCTCAAATTGTGACTAGATATCAGGTGGGTAGCTGTGTCGGTCTATCCATCTGAAGTAGTGCCCGTGCACAAGAGAGCTTCGATCCAGGATAAAACTCCGTTGGTCTTAAAGGTGCCACTGGACTCAAACGTTCATACTGAGATGGGTGCCCATGTTAGTCTGTCGGTAGCAGTGGAAAAGAGCAAGAGTCCAGTAGCACCTTGAAGACTAACATTTATTTGAATTGTGAATGTTCCTTCTGCCAGTTTTCCGCTCCATCTTTGTCTAAATCAGGGGTGGCCAAACTGTGGCTGATTCAGAGCCACATGCTGCTCTTTCACGCATATTGTGTGGCTCCCGGCAGGGCGGCTGGGGAAGCGAGGGCATGCCTCCCTGATTGGTGGTCGCTTCCCCAGCCAGTGTTCCCCTCTCTGGGTAAGCTTTATTTATTTATACATTCAATTTACAGCCCGCCCTCCCCGCAACGCGGGCTCAGGGCGGCTCACAAACAGGTATAAGCCAGCGCATAAAACACATTTAAAAACCATTTCTACAATATTATGACATTATTATTAAGTGCTCTAGATGTTCCGAATAGATCTTCCATAAAGATGGCATATAATGGTGTTATATCCACTCCGTGCCATCTGTTCCACTTGGCGCTGTCGTTCTTTCTTCCAGGGCCAGATGATGGTAGTACAGTAGTGGCGGCTCCTACTCAAACGCCTGGCGGAAGAGCTCCGTCTTGCAGGCCCTGTGGAACTGTGCAAGGGCCCTCAGGGCCCGGGTCTCCTCCGGGAGCTCGTTCCACCAGCTAGGAGCCGCCACCGAGAAGGCTCTGGCCCTGGTAGCAGCCAGCTTGAGGTGGTGGTAGGTGGGAGCAGAGAAAGAAAGCAACTTTAATTTTAAATGCGTTATCAAAGCCCCACCCCCCACCGGCGGGCTTGGAGAAGGCATTTGCCTCTTTAAATACCTTCTCCAAGCCAAGCCAACTGGTGTGGGGGGCTTTCTTTCCACCTCTCCCTCCCCCCCCATGTATTTGCTTTCTTTGTTTTTCTCTCTTTTTCTCTTTCTTTCCACCTCTCTTTCTCTCAGACAAATAAATATCATTAGCAAAGAAATAAATACCATTGGACAAATAAATACCATTATCAGTATCTGTTTTTACCCCTTTTGATTTTATGTTGGGCAGTCTCATTTAACGTTAATAAAAAAGCAAATCTGCATGTTTTCCAATAAAAACGTGTGTGTACTATTTGTTCGTGTCTTGCATGCTCATAAACTTCTGACGTTCATTCTATGTGGCTCTTAAGTTAAGCAAGTTTGGCCACCCCTGGTCTAAATCTAATTCGGCTTTCTTTATGCCCTGCATAGAGACTGAACCAAACCCAGCAGATGCTGTTTAGGCATGCGTGGGCTTCTTTTACATTTCCCAGAAGGCTCAAGGACCGTTGGGCTTCCTGGCCCCAGACATAAGAACATAAGAGATGCCAATGTTGGATCAGGCCAAAGGCCCATCCAGTCCAACACTCTGTATCACACAGTGGCCAGAAATACCAGGTGCCATCAGGATGTCCACCAGTGGGGCCAGGACACTTGAAACCCTCCCACTGTTGACCCCCCGCAAGCACCAAGAAGACAGAGCATCACTTGCCCCAGAGCCCCTATCTATACCTTGTGGCTAATAGCCACTGATGGACCTCTGCTCCATATGCTTATCTAACCGTCTCTTGCACTTGTCACTCCTATATCCCTGCCGGAGAACTACCCGTCGGGACCGGGTGCTGCCCGGGAGAGAAGAGAATGTTCTCATCTTCTCTGCTGACAAAAAGTGTGGCCTTCGGGCACCGTCATGACAGATGCAAAGTAGGATTGCACACAGAAAGCAAGACAAACCCCAACAGATTCTTGGAAAATGGCCCACAGTCCAGCTTCCTAACGTGTTTTAAGACGTACGTACTTCAAGGGGAAGTAGGCTGGGAGGGGCTAAGCCCGCCCACGTAGAAAACCTGCCCAAGAATTTTACAACGCCTCAAGGAAGAATAAGTGCCTCTGTGTGGTTTTCAGCATTCCGTTCCACGCCTTAATCTCCTGCACCTGCTGAGCATCTGTACTTATTAAGAACATAAGAGATGCCAATGTTGGATCAGGCCAAAGGCCCATCCAGTCCAACACTCTGTGTCACACAGTGGCCAGAAATACCAGGTGCCATCAGGAAGTCCACCAGTGGGGCCAGGACACTAGAAGCCCTCCCACTGTTGACCCCCCCCCCCAAGCACCAAGATGACAGAGCATCACTTGCCCCAGAATCCCTATCTATACCTTGTGGCTAATAGCCACTGATGGACCTCTGCTCCATATGCTTATCTAATTCCCTTTTGAAGCCGTCCATGCATGTAGCCGCCACCACTTCCTGTGGCAGTGAATTCCAAGTGTTAATCACTCTTTGGGTGAAGAAGTACTTCCTTTTATCCGTTCTAACCCGACCGCTCAGCAGTTTCATGGAGTGCCCACGGGTTCTTGTATTGTGAGAAAGGGAGAAAAGTACCTCTTTCTCTACCTGCTCTTTCCCATGCATAATCTTATAAACCTCGATCATGTCACCCCTCAGTCGTCGTTTCTCCAAGCTAAAGAGCCCTAAGCGCCTTAACCTTTCCTCATAGGGAAAGTGTTCCAACCCTTTTATCATTCGAGTTGCCCTTTTCTGCACTTTTTCCAAAGCTATAATATCCTTTTTAAGGTGTGGTGACCAGAACTGTACACAGTATTCCAACCAGTACAAAGTACGTTTGGCCCACATGGCGTCAAAAAAAGCCAGGGTGGCACCAGGGTTAAGTGTGTGGGATTGAGATCTGGTAGCCCTGGGTCTGAGCCACGCTTGCCGTAAAGCCCACTGGGTCTGTGTCCGTCAAGACGCTCGCTGTCGCAGGGTTGCTGCGAGGACAAAAAAGGGGGTGGCAGGAGACCACATATTCTATCCTGGCCTCCTTGGCGGAAGGGCCAATGAAAATGTACTGCTACCGCCAGAGATGTGAAACCATCCTACCCTATTTAAAACTCCTTTAGGCCCATGGAAATTTTTCCACCAAAGAGGCGTTAGCAGCAGTCCCGTTAAAGAGCAGCATGGGCACATCCTCCCTCCCCCCCCCCCTTCCCGGAGGCATTAGCTACTTTCCTGGTCCTTCACCCTCTCGCATCTTGTTAAAATCCAAGAAGGGCTGGGGGCAGTTCCAGTCTTTCCAGGAAGGCAAGCACTGTTAATCCAACCAAGCAATCGAGAGCCAGTTTAGTGGAGTGGTTAAGAGAGTGGACTCTAATCTGGGAGAACCAGGTTTGATTCCCCACTCCTCTTCCACATGCAGCTGCTGGTGTGACCTTGGGTCAGTCACAAGTTCTCTCAGAGCTGTTCTCTCAAGAGCAGTCCTCGAAAGAGCTCTCTCAGCCCTACCTATCTCACAGGGTTGTCTGTTGTGAGGAGGGGATTGTAAGCCGCTCTGAGAGTCCGAGTGAAGAGCAGGGTATAAATGCAATCTCCTTTTCTTCAATGGGGAGAATACAGATGCATGCAAAAGGGGTAGGTGGGTGGGTGGGAGAACAAAATGGAGTCCCCCTGGAGCTTCAGACTGCCACGTGAAGTCACAGATATCTGCTACATCCACGGGTAGAACAGGAGGGGCCACAGGGCACTTAAGAGGAGGACCCTCAGCACACATTCTCAGGATCTGGGCTTGGAATGCCAGGAAACACCAGGGCTTCCTCAAAGAAATTTGGGGCAAAGCTGAGAGACCTGAGGCGGGGGTGGGATGGCCCGCCTCTGGCAGAGACCACGATTCTTCACCCAAAGAGTGATTGACACATGGAATTCACTGCCACAGGAGGTGGTGGCGGCTACAAGCATGGACGGCTTCAAGAGGGAACTGGATAAACTTATGGAGCAGAGGTCCATCGGTGGCTATTAGCCACAAGGTATAGAAAGGGACTCTCAGTCTGGGGCAAGGGATGCTCTGTATTCTTGGTGCTTGAGGGGGGCAACAGTGGGAGGGCTTCTGGTGTCCTGGCCCCACTGATGGACCTCCTTGAGGGCACCTGGTATTTCTGGCCACTATGTGACACAGAGTGTTGGACTGGAGGGGCCATTGGCCTGATCCAACATTGGCTTCTCTTATGTTCTTCTATGGAGCAGAGGTCCATCAGGGACTATTGGCCACAATATAGATGGGAACTTTCAGGCTGGGGCAAGGGATCCTCTGTATTCTTGGTGCCTGGGAGGGGCAATAGTGGGAGGGCTTCTAGTGTCCTGGCCCCACTGATGGACGTCCTGATGGCACCTGGTATTTTTGGCCACTGTGTGACTCAAAACATTGGACTGGATGGGCCACGGGCCTGATCCAACATGGGCTTCTCTTATGTTCTCATGTCGCTGAAGAAACATGTCTTCAAAAATGTGACATGCAGATGGAAACCCTTTTTTCTGTTTTATGGATTTCATGTTCTTGTGGTCACTGCAAACCCACATTTTTAAAAAACCAACACGTACATTTGATCCATGCTACCCCAAGGGATCAGGAATGGCGCCCAGAAAACCCCTGAGGTTCTGACACCGAAGAAGAGTCTAAATTGAGAAAGATAATTCGGGGCACCCTTCAGGCTACTAACTTACGGTTGTTTGAAGTGCTACGGCTCCGCCCAAAGAATCCAGGGAATTCCCTGAGGGGCAGTTCTAGCTCCCTCCTCCCTTTAAAAACCTTTCAAAGTGAAGGAGAGTCTCACGTGTACAGAAATAAATCCATTTATTTTTAGAACATTCTGTGTTTCAAATGAATACAGTACTGGAGGAAAAGGAGGAGGAGGAGGAGGAGAACTGGCACTATACCGCTGAGGATTGCACAGCAGGGTAGAGAAGTGAACACCTTTATAAATTCTGGACAGAGATAAAATTCAATCTTGTCTTTCCACGCTAAAAATACGAAAGTGACATTTCAACACGTTGACGCTTCTTTTAAGACATGTGTCGTTTCGAAACCTCTAAAAATTATCCATCTCCCATAAATTTTGGTCAACGTGCTTCATTGTGACTGGTTAGAAGAGTGTGCAGACGATGACGCCCAAGTGTCAAGCAGGGTGGGGCTCGTCCTCGGCAGCAGGGGGAGCAACGCTAACACTGTGCAGTCGTGGGCGGGACTGATTCAGACAAGACATCTTTTGTTCACAAACGTCACACAGAACCCTGTTTGTCAGATGCGTGTGTGTGTGTGTGTGTGTCCCAAGGACTTTGTGTGTTCCCATGTAAGGCTACGAGAAAGGATGTGTCATAACATGATTTCATGATTAAAACTACTCCTACTTTTAATATTTTCATCTCCGTGAGTGTGTGCAGGGGCACTGTGCCTCAGGGCCAAGGAGAGGGCAAACAAGCCAGGCTGGACTTTGCCTCCCAAGGCACCCGCTCCCGATTCCATGGGATGTTGGAACAGCACCCGGGAAGAGACGAAGCTCCAAGGGTCACACTGACCTCTGACGGTGCAGGACTTTAATGGAACAGCCGAGCCGTCCTCGGTGGGTCATTCGGGGCCGCCACGCCGAGTCCGCTTCTGCGTGAACGACACAGGCACTGTAAAGAACCACCCCAGAGACCGCTCCGCTCCACGTACACCCAGTACGGTCACCCGCGACGGGCTCGGTCTCTGAACGGCCCCCCCTGCCGAGTCCGCTTCAGGTGGCTGGGTCGAGGAATTCCTCCAAAGTCCTTTTGATGTGCGGGGGCTGGGAGGCGGCCTGGACGAGCAGGTTCTGACCCATTTGTGCAAAAAGTGCTTTTGACAACTTTGCGGTGGCCGCCCGGATGTTCCCGCCGGCTCCGGGCAAGGAGCCGCTGTTGGTCATGCTGCCCAAGAGGTGCCACAAAACCACTGGGACTTTCTGCTCCACGGCGTGAGGCTTCCGGGGATACAACTCGACGACGAGCTCTGGAATCGGGGAAAGGGGGGGAGGGAGGTGACTGGAGTGCAAAAGCGCGTTTGGTGGTTACAGAGTGCCAGACTAGAGACTGGGAAACCCGGGATGAAGAGAAGAGATTGGATTTATACCCCGCCCTTCACTACCCAAAGGTGTCTCAGAGTGGCTGACAAACTCCCTTTCCCTTCCCTTCCCCTCCCCACAACAGACACCCTGGGAGGCAGGCGGGGCTGAGAGAGCTTTTTCCAGAACTGCCCTTGAGAGAACAGCTCTTGTCAGAACTACGGCTTGCCCAAGGTCATCCAGCAGGTGCAAGTGGAGGAGTGGGGAATCAAACCCGGTTCTCCCAGATTAGAGTCCGCGCACTTAACCACTACACCAAATTGGCTCTTTTATCCCCAAAAGGAATAAAACTGTCCCTTTGCCGTGACCGGGCGGATGGGCAGCCTTGGGCCAGTCACGCTCTCGGCCTAACCTACCTCACAGGGCTGCTGCTGTTGAGGGTAAAATGGAGGGGAAGAGACTGACGGGCGCCGCCCTGAGCTCCATGGCAGAAAAGCAGGACAAAAATGTATAAATAAAAGTACAGGGACCTGAAGCGGAATGTGTGGCCTGCTGCAAGAGCCGGGGCGGGGACGGAATGGGGAGCCCCCTGCTTAGGCGGCGGCTGCTAGCCTTGGTGGTCCCCGGAAGGGCAGGGATACCGGTTTTGCAAATGAAACGGTGAGGACGCAAGAGGGGAGGAGAGACTAGCTCTTCTCTCCCTGAGGGCCCAATAAGGAGCTTCCAGCCACCGTCAAAACAAGAAGCTAGTCGCGAAGGGGCCAGGCCGGCTCTTCTCCCACCCTGGTCCCTCCAGATGTGTCAGCAAACAAAAGCGCTTCGGAGAAAAGGCAGCCTTCTTCCCTTTGCCTGGTCCTAAAATATTGATTGGGATCTCTCTGAAATAAGAGTTTCATTTAGACAAGAAGGATTCTGTTGCATTAACGATTCGGTTGATGAAGGCCCAGAATCCCCCTCAATATTGGCCAGCTGAAGACTGAGTCTGAAAATCTGTCAGGCTCCTTATGCATTTTACAGCTGGCCTGCCACTGAGAGAGGAGGTCCCTCTCTCTTAGATGTGCCTGGGGCTTGTCACCTTAGTGGAGCCAAATGTCCTGGCTTCTCAAATGTCTGTTATTCTGTTTTTCTTGCTTTGTAGAGGCTACATGACTGTAGGGGGGGAGGCAACTGTTCGTTCTGGCAGGAGGGGTGCTGTGGGAGGAGGAGGTGCTTAGGGGGGGGGGCAGTGTTCCCTCTAAGCTGAGTTAGCGTGAGTTAGCTCACAGTTGTTTAGCCTCCGGCTCACATATTTTTTGTCTCGGCTCAGGAAGGATGGCTCCATAGCAAACTAATCTATGCAGTGGCCAGATCGCTCGCTCACAACTTTAATGCCAGTAACTCACAAAGTAAAAATTTTGCTCACAAGACTCCACAGCTTAGAGTGAGCCATTGGTGGTGGTGGGGGGGTAGTTGACTGTTAATTCTGGCGGGCAAATACTGTGGGGTGATTGGGTCCTGATCTTTAGTGCCTTTATTTGAACACAATATATCTACAACTTTTGCGGTTCACTTTCAGTCCTAACAATAGCTCTTGTCCAGTATGGTATCTATCAATGTCTCGATAAAGTTAGCTTTCTTCGAAGTGACTGGTGTTGAGAGCTGATTTAACCAGGATCCTGAACAAATCCCAGTTTGATGACATACATAAGACTGCTGCCAACTGACTTCCTCCCCACCCCAAGATTCACCCTTCTCTGCAAAGGTTCCCCAGTCCCGGGTACCTATCCCTTCTCACCTTCTGATGGCCATGGAGTATACCAGTTCATTCCTCGGGTTCCCCGCCCCCCGCCCCAAGACTGGGGGAAAGCATTTGTATCTGTTGTTTTCCACTCAAGTTCCAAGCCCTATAACCGGAGCTAGAATCTTTCCCCAAAGTTCACTTCTGATCTGATACTAGTGAACCATTTTTAAATGCTCTTTAATCTAGTGTTACTTGCCCCAAATGTTCAAGGTGGTGGCAATAAGTGCCTGGAACGGCCGGGCTCCTACTGCAAGAAACTTAAACGTGCGCACACACAAACCCCACAGGACCGCATGGAGAGGGTCAATCCCACTCTGCCGGGGAGGAAGACCTGCAGGGCATGGCCCAGACTTACCGGCTAGTATTTCAGTGACGTCTTGTTTGGCTTTTCCGCTCAGGAACTGGGCTTTTGTGCAGAATGGCTGGAGGAGCAGGTAATTGTCTAGATGCAGAGGAAGACAGGACAGAGACCACAACTCAATGGGTAGCCCCTTCTGTTTGCTTCATGATGGGGCAGGTGGTTGGTGAGTCTGTGGCCCCCGAAACCACGGGACTGCTAGACAGACTCCCATCTGCCACTCCCCCCACCATCGGTCATGTTCACTCGTCAATGAACACAACTTTCCTTTTTCTGTCTGGCTTCTCTTCCCCTTCCACTGATGCGTCAATGTTTTGTTTTGGCTTTTTGCCGTCAAGTCACAGCTGACAGGGCGAAGCCATCGGGTTTTCAAGGCAAGAGACATTCAGAGGTGGTTTGCCATTGCCTGCCCTCCACATAATGGCCCTGGTATTCCTTGAAGGCCTCTCATCCAAATATTAGCCAGGGCTGGCTAGAGATGTAAAATTTCCGGAAATTTTGAAGCTCGGAAAAAAAACCATTTTTTTCGAGGGGAAACAGAAATTTTCGGAAAAATTGAAAACAATGCTACATTAGCACTTCTTTTGTCTTTTCTAGATTGAAAGTCATTCTGTTACTTTAGGAACATAAAATATGACTACGGACATTTTTACTTGGCATGAAATTATCACAACTAGCATATTAAAAATATAGTGTATCCAAACAGGTATTACAAACAGAATACCCACCCACATGCAAAAACAAAACTGAAACCTTTTCCATTTCTTGTGACAATAGCACCTCCTAAAGGAAGAAATGCATCTTGTTCTTGCATTGGAGAGTTCAGTTTGTAACCTAGGACTTGCTTGTCCACAGTGCACAGAAATTAGATCAATTTGAACACCTTGTCTTAAAATATTTTATTCATCATGTGAAAATAAAACGTTCCATAATCCCATAATCATTTTTTTTCCTTTCCTTTCCTTTTCTTTTTTCAATTTTTCCAATTTTTCGGAAAAAAACAAAAAAGGCTTCAGGGAAAAAACGGGGGGGAAACTGTTTCCCCCCCGAATTTTTCCGATTTTTTTCCCCGGGCCTTCACATCTCTAGGGCTGGCCCTGCTTACCTTCCAAGATCTGATTACTCCACCAGTTTTTTTTTTTTTTTTTTTGCTTATCGGTCATGCATGTGAGCAGAGAGTTCTCACACACTTCAACGATCACTTAACTCTGTTTACTTACAGGTACTTTAATCTTTGACAGTTAATTGAAACAGTTACGGAAGAGTTGGACCGACTGCTTTTTAAGAGAGGTTAAGAGTTAAAATTGGCCCACCTTATCTCGCTCGATCAGGTGTAACTCATGTCCCCCTGCTGATAATAGCTCATTTGCACTTGTGTTGATTGTCTCATATCTCGTTAAGAGCCAGTCTCGTAATAGTAATTGCATGATTAATGTAGAAGAGATTTAGAAAAAGGTAAGACTGATATCGCTCTATAAATACGCACTGCTGTGAGAAGCAAATCAGATTTCTCTGGATGGAGATTAAGTGCGATTTCTCGGTGTGTGAGACTCGGGCTTTTAAGATAACTGCTAAAACCAGTGAGACCAAAAAAATCTGAAACCCGGTTTGCTTTTAAAAATATTACTCGCTATAATATGATTAAGCGATGTTAGGAACTTTGATGATTTTTACCCACTTATTTTTACGGTAATTTTAGGGTTTTCACATGCCTGAACTTCTTACTGTCTTGCATAATAAAAATAACAATTTCTTTGTTTCAATAAAAAATAAAAGTCTGTGAAGGTTTGCTGGTTATAGTTCAAAGAATCGAACTCACATCTTACTTGCTTTTATTACCAGATTTAAAGGTTGATAAACAGCCTTTAACCGATAAATCCTGGGGAACTCTGATGCTGAGCAGTTTGAATAGGCAAAGTCGTTTATTTTTGTTTAGTCCGGATTCTTTAAGTGGGCGCAGGATTGAGAATATATCTTGCTACACCAAAGCCACAGCCCCTCCCCCCATCCCCCAAAAGCCACTGTACCTGTCCCAACAGATTCTCTTTGCGGAACTACATGTTGGCAAAAACCATTTCAGAAAGCTGGACGGGCATCTGAAAAGAGCCCCTTACCCAAGTGCTGGCAAAGGGCGTGGATGACGCCGGTGGCGGCAGCGTAGATGCCCGGGTTCTTGGAGTTGAGGTTGTTGTCCACCAAGGCAGGAATGAGCATGTGGATGACCGGGGACAGCTTCTCCTTCAGCAGGGGGATCAACTGGCGCATGGTCTCCAGGGCCACCTGGTTCACTTTGCTGTTGGAGTCGTGCAAGCGAGGCTTGAAGGCGTCGAAGATCTGCGCAAAGGCACATGGCCGCAAGAGTCGGAATCCTGCCTTCCTCGGGGGAAGGAACCGCTTCAACCACCCCTGTTCCTACCTGCTTATAACCACCTGTGGCCTATCGTCTGAGGCAGGGGTCTCTCTCTAAATGGTGCCCACTGACACCTTTCCTGCCCCCCCCCGAGTGTTGGCAGGAAGTGGGCGGGACCGGGAGAGGCTTTTGGACCCCAGGGCTTCTGGCTGAGCAGTGGAGGCGTGATCGGCTGTGCAGATCTTAAAATATGTCGCTTTGGCAGCCACTTTGGCACCCAAAGAGTGATGAACACCTGGAATTCACTGCCGCAGGAGGTGGTGGCGGCTACAAGCATGAATGGCTTCAAGAGGGAATTGGATAAGCATATGGAGCAGAGGTCCATCAGCGGCTATTAGCCACAAGGTATAGATGGGGACTTCTGGTGTCCTGGCCCCACTGCTGGACCTCCTGAGGGCACCTGGTGTTTTTGGCCACTGTGTGACACAGAGTGTTGGACTGGACGGGCCATTGGCCTGATCCAATATTGGCTTCTCTTATTTTCTTATGTTCTTGGTGCTGGGGGGGGCAACAGTGGGAGGGCTCCTAGTGTCCTTGCCCCACTGCTGGACCTTCTGAGGGCACCTGGTATTTTTGGCCACTGTGTGACACAGAGTGTTGGACTGGATGGGCCTTTGGCCTGATCCAACACTGGCTTCTCCTGTTCTGATGTTCTTGCCACCAGCGCAAGGACCTTCACGGTGTGACTGAAGGTCAGCTGCGGCAGCGATTTTGTGATGGTGCTCTTCACGCTGTGTCAGGATTCCATTCCAGAGAGGCCCACAGGCTCAATAGGGACCCCTGACCTAAGGGCTCTGTCTCCAAAGAGATTCCACAGGGTTCGCGTCCCTGCTCTGCTACTGCCTTCCAGCGTGTCCCCCTGGGCAAGTCACTGACTTTATCGGCCTCATTTAACACTTAAATACTTGGACAGGGCAAAACCTGATGAATCAGGGACTCAGCCCATCAAGGTCAGTCTCGCCTACTCAGACCGGCAGCCGCTCTCCAGGGTCTCAGGCCGAGGTCTTTCCTGTCACCTACTGTCTGCTCCTTTCAACAGGAGATGCTGGGGATTGAACCTGGGTTCTTCTGCATGCCATACATGTACAGATGAAACGGCCTTAAATTGAATCAGACACAGACCCTCAAGGTCAGTTATTGTCTGCTCAGACTGGCAGCTGCTCTCCAGGGACTCAGGCGGAGGTCTTCCCCGTCACCTACTGTCTGCTCCTTTCAACAGGAGATGCTGGGGATTGAACCTGGGTTCTTCTGCATGCCATACATGTACAGATGAAACGGCCTTAAATTGAATCGGACACAGACCCTCAAGGTCAGTTATTGTCTGCTCAGACTGGCAGCTGCTCTCCAGGGTATCAGGCGGAGATCTTCCCCGTCACCTCCTACCCGGTCCTTTCAACTGGGGATGCCAGGGACTGAACCTGGGACCTTCTGCATGCTAAGCAGAGGCTCTGCCACTGAGCCACAGTTCCTTTCCTGACCATACTGTACACATGAAGCTGCCTTATACTGAATCAAACCATCACTCTGTCAAGGTCAGTCTCGCCTACTCAGACCGGCAGCCGCTCTCCAGGGTCTCGGGCTGAGGTCTTTCCCATCACCTCCTGCCTGGTCATTTTCAACTGGAGATGCTGCCGGGGAGATGCTGCTGGGTGTCAGACTTGGGCATCTGGCATAGGGCAGCTGGCTGATACCTGTTGCATTCTGCTTGTGTTCTGTATCCATTATGTATCCCTTATCATCGCCCTCACCTGCCACTGCATTCCTGAGGGGGGGGGAGTACATGTAGTGAATTAGAGAGGCCTGCTCGGTAATTTTCCTAAGAGGCCCGAAGACATCTTCCTCACGAGAAATGTCCTTGGAGGAAAGTCTGTGCCTGGCTAGATAGTGGTTGTATATCTTTCAGAACCACCACGGTAGTGCTGACGTCGAGTGCCTGGAATTTGGGGGATGTATCTATACCTTGTGCTTCCCGCCTTGCAAATCAGTCCTAACAAAGCGTTTGAACCCGCAGCATCTCGTATCTCTAAATAAAGCATTCACTGCAAAAGTGTGTGTGGGGAGAGTGATTTGACTGGGAACCTGACACGGGGACCTTCGGCAAGCCAAGCGGAGGCTTCCTTGTGGTGCTGGCTCCACGCGGCGGGGTAGAGCGGAGGGAAGACGCACCTTTTCAAACAGTGATCATTCCTCTGAGGACGTGACTCTTTTGCTTGGCCGCGAGAGGTCTGGGATCGCGCTCCTGAGAAGCCCATACTGGGGGGGATAAGCAGCACACCCTTTTGTGGTTATGCCCTTGTGCTGGTAGGCTGACACAACCCTACACAATGTGGCTCTAGTTAGGGAAATCTGGAAAAAATTGTAAACCGCTCAGAGACCTGTTAGGTTAGAGCGGTATAAAAATTGAAGGTATAAATAAATAAATAAATAAATAAATAAGCCGCCCTGAGCCTTCGGGGTAGGGCAGGATATAAATCCAAGGATAAATAAATAAATAAATATGCTGAGGCCACTGCTTAGTGGCATCCAGAAGGCCACGAGTTGAATGCCCGTCACCTCCTCTGCCTCAAAGGCTGGAGAGCTGCTGTCAGCAGCACTGGGTTGCTGGACCCACCAACACCAGGCTGCTACCTGGGCCGCATAAGGCAGACACACACCCTGCCTGCCCCAGTTCCGCCCACCAGGCTGCACTGGCTTCTCATCTAGCCGTGGCCGTCTCCTGTGTCCTACCTCAGCCACCGTTGTTGCTGCCTCTGCCCTTCATTTCCAGCAGAGGGTGTTGCGTGCCTGTGTAAAGTGCCATCAAGTCACGGATGACTTATGGCGACTCCAGCAACGGGCTCTCGAGTCAAGTGAGAAGCAGAGGAGGTTTGCCGTCGCCAGTTGGGTGTAGTGGTTAAGTGCGCGGACTCTAATCTGGGAGACCCGGGTTTGATTCCCCCACTCCTCCACTTGCACCTGGCTGGATGACCTTGGGCAAGCCCAAGTTCTGATAAGAGCTGTTCTTGAAAAAAAGCAGTTTCGGTCAGAGCTCTCTCAGCCCCACCTACCTCACAGGGTGTCTGTGATGCGGCGGGAAGGAAAAGGAGTTTGTAAGCTGCTCTGAGACTCCCTTGGGTAGTGAAGGGCGGGGTATGAATCCAATCTCCTTCTCTTCTTCTTCTTCCTCTGCAGAGCCTTCCCTGGTGGTCTCTGAACCCTGCTCAGCTTCTGAGAGCTGAGAAGATCAGGGCTACACCAGACCGCCCACCAGACCTCTCTCAGTGGGTTTCCTGCTCTCTGGATTTCCTGCCCTTTCTAATTGAGGATGCTTCTGCACCCTGTGGAAGGCCTCCACTCTCCCAGCTGTCCACAAACGATGCAAAACTGGATTATTCAGGAGGACTTTTCTACTGTCAGCAAGCTGCCATTGAGTGGTGTGCTCTGTTCTACATGTTACCTTATGCTCTGGTCATCCCCCCCCCCGTTTCTTCCTGAGTAGGTGTTTACTGTCTTTGCTTGCTACACTGCGGAACTGCTCAAGGTCACACAGCTGGAGGTGGGAAGGAGTTATGGCGTTGCTATGCTTATTATGTATTTGATGCCTGAGAACTGAACTTGTGTTTATGTTGTAGAACCGTTGGGTTCCCAAGGAATTGGGCGCTCGTTTTATCTACATTCCCGCCAGCGGGAATTGGGCTCATTGGCTCTAACCTGGTTCAAGTTCCTTTATTATGTTTCCCTATGAGACTTGTAGTCATTACTAACAATTTTTGTGTTCCTGATCTAACCATCGCTTTACAATAAATTTTACTTTGTTCATCAACCGTGGATTTATTCGAATGCATGGGAAATCGGACATCTACACGGGCAACAGTCTTGCACTGTACTAAATGGTTCACAAGCTTGCTTGGACAAATTATTTGGGGCTGTGATCTGTAGCACTCTACACAGTTTACTGGAAGCTGGATCCTATTTATGTAATCTTGCATCATTTAATTTGTCATGTTAAAACTTACACCATTGTCATGATCTGTGTAGGACTGGGAAACAAGGCCTAGTGAGGCCTAGGCGACCTGTGTGGGAGTGGAAAGCAGACACTGCCTACAATCCCCACAATGCTTGGTGCCAGTTGTAACCAATTGGTGTCCGGGGATTGTATGAGGAGAATGTTACTTAGATTTTGTGGGCTGTGGAACTGAGTTCTTTTCTCTCACAGAGCTAAGCTGAGAGGACAGTCTGGTCTGGGAGAAAGATCCCTCACTTGGGACCAATGTTCCCTCTAAGTTGAGTTAGTGTGAGCTAGCTCACAGCTTTTTAGCCTCCGGCTCACACATTTTTGCCTTAGCTCAGGAAGGATGGCTCCAGAGCACACTAATTTATGCAGGAGCCAAATCGCTCGCTCACAACTTTAATGCAAGTAGCTCACAAAGTAGAATTTTTGCTCACAGGACTCCACAGCTTAGAGAGAACATTGCTTGGAACAGACTGAATACAGGCACAGGCCTGGTATAAAAGGCTGTGGGCCTTGAATAGTAACCAGTTAATAAAAATAGGTAGCCGTGTTAGATTTGTTTTATTTACCTTTAGACACTATATATATACTATATATATATATATTCATTCTAAGCACCTTGTCTTGTTTCCTTGCCCATTACTGTATTAATAAACCACTTCTATGTTCTCTGCCTGGTCATCACGCCTATATTTTCTCGGCTTAACAGGGGCATTTTTGGCTGGGCTTGGGAGGCTACTCTGGGCTTTCCCAAGGGACCCTAAGTCCAGAGTGGTGGCAGAGGAAGGTGGCGATCCACGGGGCAGCATGACAGCCTTGCTTCGGTTCTATGTTTTAGACTTCTGGTTGGTTCTGCAGCCCAAATCCTATTTCACTGTTCATCGACTGTCCCATTCTGTTGATTGTACTGATTCGCTCTGTGCAGTCTGCCTTGAGTCCCAGTGAGACAGGCAGGCTATAAATAACGTAAATAGAAATACCTTCACAATGTTGGCAGCCACCAGGTCCGGGTTGCTTTCTGTGTCTGCTAACAGTTGTCTGATTCCACTGATCCGCTCCCGAAAGTCCTTGGCGTTCAGGGAAGTCGTTATGACCTTCACGTACTCTGCACTTTCCAAGGCGCTGCGGGGGCCCAGTTTCCTGGTCATTTCACACACTTCTCTCATCTCTCTGTTGGAAAGGAGCATAGGAGATGAATGGTCAGGCCTAGAAATTTCCCATAAGAATATTAAGAAGAGCCCTGCTGGATCAGACCAGTGAGGGTCCAATTATTCCAGCATCCTGCCTCAAACAGTGGCCAACCAGTGCCTCCGGAGGGCCAACAACAGGGCAGAGAGCTCGAGGCCTTCATTAGAACATAAAAAGAGCCCTGCTGGATCAGACTAGTGGTCCATCCAGTCGAACATCCCGTCTAACACAGTGTCCAGCCAGTTCCTCTGGAGGGCCAACAAGGCATAGAGGCTGAAGCCTTCCCCTGATGTTGCCTCCTGGCTCCGGAACTCAAAGGGTTTACTGCCTCTGAATGTGGAGGTTCCCGTCATCCACCATGACTAGTAGCCATTGATAGACTTATTTATTTATTTATACTTTAGATTTCTATACCGCTCCAAACCCCAAAGGGTCTCTCCTCCACGAATCTCTCTAATCCCCTTTTAAGATGTTTATTCCCCCACCCTTGGCCATTTCGTTATGTACCTTGCCTGCTGGTCACGACTGGTACCAGAAGGCAGGCTAGCAAACAGGGTCGAGCATAGCCTCTAGTTGCCAGGACTAGTAATCTCAAGCCCAGACGTCTTCAAAAGGCAGGCAGCTACAGTGTGGAAGCTTTTGGTAATCGATTCCTGTGTCTACAAAAAAGGCCCCACAACGTATTTATCAGCACTCCAGGTACTGGAGGAGTCACACAGTTTGTCTAGATCACACAGCCGTATTTGCTTGGATAAACGATTAGGGACCGTGGTCTACCCTGCTGCGCTGCGTATCGCTTACCAAAAGTAGGATCCTATTATGTAAATTGGGTATACTATCCAATGTATTTATTATTTATTTTATTTATTATATTGGGCTCTTATACCGCCCTCCCCGCAAGAGCGCTCAGGGCAGTGTGCAACGAATTCCTACAAAAATACATATAAAATCATTAAAGAATACAATTCTAGAAATACCTGATACCCACATGGCACCGTAATGCAATTCTAAGCCCCAATTTGTGTGGGGTGTGTGTGTGTAGGGTGTGTGTGTGTGTGTGAAAGCAGTTAGTGAACCAAATATCTGCTGGCAACTGTTAACCGTTAGACCGTTGATGCTGAACCCACTGATGTCGAATGCCTCTGATGTGAAAACGGCTGCTGTCCTCCACTGTATGCCTGGCAGAGGAACATCTCTGCATACAGTCCCTGCGGAATTGTAACAGATCCCACCGGGCCCTGATGTTGGCAGGCAGAGAGTCCCACCAAGCTGGAGCTAGTGCCGAAAAGGCCCTGTCCCTGGTGGGGGACAGCTGGATGCTCTTAGGGCCAGGGACTTCCGGCAGATGTCGACTGCTTGAGCATAATGCTCTCTGGGGGACATCCCGGGAGAGGCGGTCCCGTCCCCGACCGTGCAGGGCCTGAAAGGTCAGGACCAGAACCACGCTAATACCTACGCTAAGCTTCAGCTCTGCCTGATAGTTCCAGACTCCCAGCATCCTAATGCACTGGTCACTGAGCGTCCCATTCTGCTGAATGCTGCTTAGCTCCCGAGATCTGATGAGATCGGGCTGCCCTGGGCCACCCGGGCCAGGGCTCCAACAAAACACAAGCAAATAAATTACCTGTCCCCGGCACTGAGCGTGTCCCGTGACACCGAAGCCGACCGAGAACTGTCCGTGGCGCTGATGTGCGAGCGCCTGCCTTTGGCCGAGGGCGTGACGATGGGCATCTCTCCCAGTCCCTGTGATGGCGCATTAAAAGAGTTGGATCAGTTCCTTCTACGGCACCCTCTTCGCATCACCGCGTGGCTGGATCGCTCTGCCTGCACTGCAGGGCCCCCCCAGGGAGGGTCAACTTCCTGACAGTTAGAGCGGTCCCTCAGTGGAACAGGACTCCTCGGGAGGTGGTGGGCACTCCTTCTTTGCAGGTTTTCAAGCAGAGGCTAGACGGCCCCATCTGACAGCAATGCTGCTTGTGTGAACTTAGGCAGATCATGTGAGGGAGGGAAGGAAGGGTTGCCTCCGTTCTCGTGGCCCTTTCTTATGCACCCAGGGGAAATGCTGATCGCCACTTTGGGGTCAGGAAGCCATTTTTCTCCAGGCCACTTTGGCTGAAGATCCTGGAGACTGGGGGGGGGGTTTTGGTCATCTTCTGGGCATGGAACAGCAGTCACTGGGGGTGTGGACGGGAAGGTATTTGTGAATTTCCTGAATTGTCCAGGGGGTCTGGACTAGATGACCCAGGAGTTCCCTTCCAACTCTATGATTCTTTAACTCTATAAGTTGAGTATTACCTGCATACTGGCAACAACCCAGGCCAGATACCTGAACGACCTCACCCACTGGTTTCTTGTGGATTTCTAAAGAGCACAGGGGGCAAGGTGGAACCTCGTGGGACCCCGCAGGCCAGAGGCCAGGAGGCTGAACAGCTGCCCTTCTGCACCACCTCCTGTAACCAGCCCTCCAGGTATGGTGAAAACCAGGGCAAAATGATGCCTCCCAGTCCCAGAGACTGATGGTCTGATTCAGCAGAAGGCAGCCTGAATGTGTCGGAGAGCACCAGAGCAACGGGCCTTCAGATGGATAACTGACTCTGAATATGGGCACTATGTTCACACATAAATGGCTTGTAGCCGTACAGCTTAAGCAGAATCAGAAGAAGAGGAGGAGGAGAAGATTGGATTTATATCCCGCCCTTCACTACCCAGAGGAGTCCCAGAGCGGCTCACAAACTCCTTTCCCTTCCCCTCCCCACAACAGGCACCCTGGGAGGTCGGTGGGGCTGAGAGAGCTCTGGCAGAAACTGTTCTTTTTCACGAACAGCTCTGATAGAACTACGGCTTGCCCAAGGTCATCCAGCCAGGTGCACGTGGAGGAGTGGGGGATCAAACCCGGTTCTCCCAGACTAGAGTCCGCGCTCCTAAGCACTACACCAGTCTGGCTCTCAGGAGGCCCCTCCAGCCCGGGACCCAGGAACAGCCTCCTCGTCTAGGGGAGAGCAGAAGGACCCGGGAGCTCAGGAGACCACGGCCAGCCCACTCCATCGTGAAGCCTAAAGACCCCGATGCCTCAGGTAGGAACCTGCCTTGGGAGCAGCCCCAACGGAGGGTTTCGGTCCACCAGCCCTCAAGCACGGGAAGCCAGCAGGCCCCCGGGGCTCCCTGCACACCTCGCAAGGCCACTGGAGGGGACGGGCCCACAAGCAGGTCACCCTGAGCAGGCGAAGGGACCAGTCTGCAGCCTGTGCTCCTCTGCCATCGAGGGAAGCTCCTCCTCCCACAACTGCAAGTCCCCACAGGATCAGGGCCCAACGAAGCCCTTGTGGGACGAGGCCCCAGAGACAACACACCAGGCAGGTGGGATTGCTCCCCTTTGGCACCACACACATGAAGCTGCCTTGTACTGAATCAGTCCATCAAGGTCACTATTGCCTACTCAGGCTGGCAGCCGCTCTCCAGGGTCTCGGGCTGAGGTCTTTCCCATCACCTCCTGCCTGGTCGTTTTAAACTGGAGATGCCACCGGGGATTGAACCTGGGACCTCCTGCATGCCAAGCAGAGCCTCCTCTTCACAGCTCTCCAGGGTCACAGGCAGACAGAAGTCTTTCCCATCACCTGCTGCCTGGTCCTTTTAACTGGAGATGCCGGGGATTGAACCGGGGACCTTCTGCTCGCAAAGCAGATGCTCTGCCACTGAGCCATGGCTCCTCCCCACTTTTATGAGCGTATCTGAAGCGGCTTATACTGAAGCAGACCCTCGGCCCATCAAGGTCAGTATTGTCAACTCAGCCTGACAACAGCTCTCCAGGGTCTCGGGCTGAGGTCTTTCCCATCACCTCCTGCCTGGTCCTTTTAAACTGGAGATGCCGCCGGGGATTGAACCTGGGACCTCCTGCATGCCAAGCAGAGGATCTGCCGCTGAACCACAGCCCCTTCCCTGACCATCGTCAACACATGAAGCTACCTTAATACTGAACCAGATGCTTTGTCCATCAGAGTCAGTATTGTCTACTCAGACTGGCAGCCGCTCTCTAGGGTACCCAGCAGAGGTCCTGCCCATCACCTCCTGCCTGGTCGTTTTTAAACTGGAGATGCCGGGGAATTGAACCTGGGACCTTCTGCATGCCAAACAGAGGCTCTTCCACTAAGCCACAACCCCCCTCCAGGGCTCTCCAGGGTCTCAAGTGGAGGTCTTACACATCACCTACTGCCTGGTCCTTTTTAACTGGAGATGCTGCTGGGGATTGAACCTGGGACCTTCTGCATGCCAAGCAGAAGCTCTTCCGCTGAGCCACGGCCCTTCAGTGAAAGACCCCCTCCCAATGGTCAGGACCATTCCCCAAACCCAACCCGCCAACCACCATACGTTATGTTTCAGGTATTATGTTCCAGGAGAGCTCCGTGGTGTACCTTCTGCCTCAGACTGCTGACACTCTCTTTGACATAAGGCAAGTCCTTGGGCAGCACATACTTTTCAAGCATTCTCTCGAAGTCTGCGTGCGTCATCAAGGTGAAGAGCATCTTCCGGCCGTAGTACCTGCGACCGCCACAAATGAACACACTTGTGAAGACAGCTTTGACCGTGCATGTGCAAGGCCAGATTATTACAAGCCCATTCCCGTAAAGTTGAGCTTTCTGAATGCAGAAATGTAGACCTCTGCAGTCCAAGTCAACAGAATGCCAGACCTTGGCTCTGGAAGGAAATGGGAGCTCCACGGCATAAGTCATCGTTCCTGACAACTGCGCTGGGAGCCAGTTGTCGAGGCAAGCAAATTATAACCTAGGATGGAAGGGTGGGGCTCTGGCTTAGTGGCAGAGCATCTGCTTGGAATGCAGAAGGTTCCAGGTTCAATTCCCAGCATATCCAGGAGGGATCACAGCAAGTGGTCATGCGGAAGACCTCAGACTGAGACCCTGCCAGCCTGATCAGACAATTCTGAAGAATAGTGTCGTCAAGGACGAGAGATCATGGGACAGGCTGAACTTAGTAAGGAAAAACAACCGTGATATGATAACGAAACCTTGTAAGGGAAAAATATATCTTCTTTAATTATCCAGTACGGTGTTGCCTCTGAAGTAAATTGGTCTCAAGTTTTTCTGATGTAAGTTAGAAAGGAAGAGTGAGCAGAAAAAAGTTGCAGAAAAAATACAAAAGGTGTCAGGTCTCATGAAACCTTGAGTGGAACGGTCTATTGAGCGCTGTTGCCATCAGAAAAACTTGAGACCGATTTACTTCAAAGGAAACACCTTTAATGATTTGTTACTCACTGTAAAATTAAAGAATGTGTATTTTTCCCTTAGGAGCTGCGGTGGCTCAAGTGGTTAAGACGCTGAACTGCAGGCTGTGGAAGGTCAGTAGTTCAGCAGTTCGAGACCTGGGTGCCACATGATTGAGTGAGCTCCCATCTCTAGTTCCAGCTTCTGCCAACCTAGCCGTTCGAAAGCAAGAAATTGCAAGTAGATAAATAGGTACCACTTCGGTGGGAAGGGAAAAGCGTTCCGTGCGCCCTGGTGTTTAGTCATGCTGGCCACATGACCACGAAAACGTCTTCGGACAGCACTGGCTCTTTGGCTTCGAAACGGAGATGAGCACTTCAACCCTAGAATCGGATTTGACTGGCTTTCGAGCAAGGGAACCTTTACCTTTTTATTTTTCCCTTACAAGATTTTGTTATCATATCATGGTTGTTTTTCCTTACTAAGCTCAATTCTGAAGAATAGTCTGGAATAGGCTATTGTGAATAATCCCCCTGGGGTTTGGTCTGCTACAAGCACAGCTCAGTTGGACGAAAATAATCTCTGGAAAGTGGAAGCCACCTGGATCATATGATCGCAGGAGCTCAGGGACGTGGTGCTGGCCATGTGAAAAGTGCAATTTTGCAGTCTGGCTGACAGCAAACCAGAAAGGGCGTTTCTTGAACACGCGCATCAACACACAAAGCAGCTTTATTAGCTCCTTGGTCCCATCGAAGTCAGCATGGTCTACTCAGACTGGCAGTGGCTCTCCAGGGTCTCAGGCAGAGGTCTTTCCCATCACCTCCTACCTGGTCCTTTCAACTGGAGATGCCAGGGACTGAACTTGAGACTCTTGACATGCCAAGCAGAGGCTGTACCACTGAGCCACAGCCCCTCTTGACTGTACAATTTGTGAAAGGGGGATAATAGATTCAAAGAACGGCAGAGCTGATCTCCTGATGAACTCCACAGCCTTGCTTGCGCCTGTGCTTGGAGATAAACACAGCCCAGAAATTTCAAGATGGGTGGCCAGGCCATGTTTGTCTGTAACAGTAGAGAAAAATAAAGAGTCCAGGAGCACCTGAAAGACTAACAAATATTTGTGGTAAAAGTAAGAGTTTTCGTGAGTCGCTGAAAAAGTGAGATGTGACTCACGAAATCCTCTCCTGCCAGGAAATGTTGTTAGTCTTTAAGGAGCTCCTGGACTCTGGCTGTTTTCTGCTGCTACGGAAAGTCCAAGTGGTCAGGAGCTCCGGGATACAGGGATCATATCAACCCACTGCTGAAAAGATCCGCGGTGGCTGCCCGTTTTTTTCTGGACACAATCTAAAGTGCTGGTTCTAAACCGCTTTGGGCCAGTGTTCTCGAAGTACCCCTTCCCTACAAAGCTGTACACAGCCCATCAGTTGAGCATCGTCCCCCATGAGCTCTCCGTTCCCCGCCCCCTACAGAGGTGAGGCACTGGTAATAAGAGACAGGATTTTTTTAGTGGTGGCTTTGGAATGCGCCCCCCCCCCCCATGCTCACCTGGTGCCAACAATAATAGTTTTCTAAGCGACAGGCAGAGGTCATTTCGGGGGGGATCGCAGTTCCCCAGGGTGAGGTACGGGGGGCGGGGCACATGACGAAGCCCTGACCCCTGCTTCCGGCCGCCCCGCTTCCAGCCCTCATTCAGCCAGGAGGAGGCAGGAGAAGAGGGAAAGGTGCTCCCCCCCCGCCTCTCCCCACCCCTGCCTGCCTGGGGCCAGGGAGGGCCTTGGCGGGGCTTCCTCGCACTCCGGCCGGCCTTGCAGGTCCACCGCCGGGGCCCCTGATGTCAGGGGGTGTGGCATATGCTATTGAGTTATGCTAATAAGTTCCCCTAGCTCTTTTTCTACGAAATGACCCCTGGCGACAGGCATAACCATGTCTCTTTACCCAGGGTTTTAACTTCAGGGAGTTTGTTTCATGATCCGAGGTCTGTTTTACGAATATTTTTAAAGGGAGCTCAATGGTTGCTTTATGTTATTTTCATGCCCATGAGCCAGTTTGGTGTAGTGGTTAAGCGCGCGGACTCTAATCTGGGAGAACCGGGTTTGATTCCCCACTCCTCCACTCGCAGCTGCTGGATGACCTTGGGCAAGCCGTCGTTCTGATAAGAGCTGTTCTTGAAAAAGAGCACTTTTTCTCAGAGCTCTCTCAGCCCCGCCTACCTCACGGGGTGCCTGTTGTGGGGAAAGGAAAGGAGTCGCTCTGAGACGCCTTTGGGTAGTGAAGGGCGTGGTATAAATCCAATCTCTTCTCTTCTTCCTTATATTTATAATTTAGGAGGCTTTTATGATTTTACGGTATAGGCTTTATTGAAAAGCCAATCTTCCCAAGGCCTGGAAGAGACGGCCTGTCGAGAGCAGAACATGTTTTCGGTCAGCAGATTTAAGCCACCACACTGCAAGGCAGAACTCTCTCCTTGCTGAAATAAACCCAAGGAACAAAAACGCAGAGGAGAGCCACTTCAAGGCTAACCCCCGCCCCACGGACTATGTTGGCAAGGCGGTGGGTCAAAAGGCCATGATCGACAGTGTCGAATGCGGCTGTAAGATCAGGAAACAGCAGCAGCAGCCGCAGTGCCGACCCGCCTCGATCCAACTGGCTGTGAAGACTGCCTGCGATGATGAACGGTACTGTCTCCGTCCTGCGGCCAGAGCGGAAACTGGACTGGAATGGCTCCAGTGCCGATGGACTCATCTGAATCTAGCTGTTCTACTGTAGACCAACACGGCTCCCCTCTGAATCTACGTTTCTGTAACAGCTGGAGTCCTCGGGATTCCCAACAAGCCCTCCGCTCCCTTAGAATCCAAAACACCAACCCTCCCTTGCTCTGTACCGGCTGACCTTGTTTCCGGTGAGCTGTCCTGAACAAATTTGGCTACGGCAGACAAAACCTTGTCTGTGACGTCCTTGATCCCGGACAAGACGCGCCCTGGTCTCAAATGCTCCACGATGTCCGACAGGTGCTGGGCTGCACACCTCCTCACTGCTGTGTTCAAGTGGCTGGCGAGGGAAAGAAGAAAACCTCAGGAAGAGAGTGCACGACTGCCTCGCCTCGTGCCAGTGACTCCGCAAGCCCCCCTTTGCTCCTGGCATGCCGGCCAAAGCCTCTGGCCACACCTGGAGGGCTGACCTGGTCCAGAGCAGCAGCACAGAAGCCCAAAGAACAGGCTCCACCGAGAGCAAGGTCGCGCCACCCACACGTCAATCTGTCAGCCTCCTCGGATGAACCTGCCTCGCTTGGAGCACCCAAGGCCATGTGTGCAGGGGTGCTGCAGCAATGGCACTGAACCAGCACATGGCAAGACCCCCCCCCCCAAATGACCACCCAGGGAACACAGGCCTGTTGTGTTGCCTGAAGGAATAACAACGACAAAAGAGAGCCAGTTTGGTGTAGTGGGTTAAGTGTGCGGACTCCAATCTGGAAGAACCGGGTTTGATTCCCCACTCCTCCACTTGCACCTGGCTGGATGACCTTGGGCCATAGTTCTGACAAGAGCTGTCCTTGGAAAAGAGCTGTTTCTGTCCAGAGCTCTCTCAGCCCCGCCTACCTCACAGGGTGTCTGTTGTGGGGAGGGGAAGGGAAAGGAGTTTGTAAGCCCCTCTGAGACTCCCTTGGGTAGTGAAGGGCCATGGGGTATAAATCATGAGACACCCTGTGAGGCAGGTGGGGCTGAGAGAGCTCTGAGAGAACCGTCCTTGAGAGAACAGCTCTGGAAGAACTTGTGACTGAGCCAAGGTCACCCAGCTGGCTGCATGTGGAGGAAGAATGGGAGAATCAAGCCCGGTTCTCCCAGGTGAGAGTCCGCCACTCTTAACCGCCACACCAGGCTGGCTGTGAGGCTTGCCAGGTCCCTCCTGGGACCCCCCGGGGGGCGGGACAGTGAGGAAAAGCCTCGGCCACCATTTTCAGAGACAGGGTGACGTCACTTCCAGCGTGCACCATAAGAGACATCGTCACACTGCCAGCAGTGGGGGATTTAGGCAAAAAGCTCTTATGCTAGAAGCTGTTTCTACCATAGAGTTCTTGCCCAACACCAGAGCCTCCTGTACTGCCGGTGACGCAACAACCCCTCTTCCCAGGGCACACCAGAAGTGATGATGTCACGGTGATGCCAGCCCGGGGCCTCTCCTCCCCCCACCCCCGCCCCAGGCACGAGACGACTGGACCTCCCCAGTACTGGCCTGGCAGCCCTGGGCAAGGCTGGTTTTATTTCAGTGCCCTTTGCAGGCAGGGCTGTGCCCATGACCAGAAAGGAACAGTCAGAGCTCATCTAAAGAGGGGCTTCGGCGGCACTCTCGCCTAGATGTGTTTGCCAAGTCAACCTGCCCAACCACAAGGGCTCCTCTCCGGTGTGTTACCTTTGGCCTCCGTTGATCAGCGCAGCGAGCGCGCGGGCGGGCGTGACGCTGCTCCCCATCGCCCTCAGCGCTTTGTCGACGTCTTCCCGGATGAAGGTGTTCGACTCCCCGGCCTTGTGCAGGAGGACCTTGACCGTGCCGTCCAGCTCCTGGTCCATGCTCTTCTTCAGGTGGCTGAACAGGGCGCCCAGACAGAGGACTGCCGCTCGTGACACGACGGAGCGCAGATTCTTCACCTGCACGTGGGAGAGAGCCACGTCGGCAAAAGGCCACTTCTCCCTTCAAGGATTTCAAAAGGCTGCTGTGTCGGGGTCTGCGGGAGAAGATCTTGATTCGAGTCCAGCGGCGGCTTAGAGACCAGGGAGATATTCAGGGGGTGAGCTCCCCACAGGAGCGCTGACTCTCGAAAGCTCACCCCGCTGAAAATCTCTTTGGGTTCTAAGGTGCTCCCGGGCTCGAATCGGGCTGTCCTCCCTTTGAGAATTTTCCAAACTGGAGCATTTAGAAAGTTGTAGAAAAGTTGGGGGATGGGATTATAGTTTCAAAAAATCAGAAGTGAGGATAACGGAACAGCCTCTCCCCTCTACATCAGGGGTATCGAACTCATTTGTTATGAGGGCCGGATCTGACATAAGTGAGACCTTGTCGGGCCGGGCCACGTGTGTCATAAAATGTAATGCCCGGTAGCGGATATATGCACTTTATATACACAAAGGGTTTTTTTTTAACTCAAAATAAAAACATGCTTAAAACATCAGCTCTGTAGAAGAGAAGAAGATAAGAGATTGGATTTATACCCCGCCCTTCACTACCCAGAGGAGTCTCAGAGCGGCTCACAAACTCCTTTCCCTCCCCCCCACCCAACAGACACCCTGTGAGGTGGGTGGGGCTGAGAGAACTCAGACACAAACTGCTCTTTTTCAAGGACAGCTGTACCAGAGCTTGTGACTGACCCAAGGTCACATCAGCAGGTGCAAGTAGAGGAGTGGGGAATCAAACCCGGTTCTCCCTGATTAGAGTCCGCACACTTAACCACGACACCAAACTGGCTCTCATGTGGGAGCTGCAACCCTACTTTTGATTTATTGACGTTCACCACAGAAATCTCACGCTCAGAGTTCTGAGTCTAGGACCCAGGTGAAAACATGAAATGGCTGAGCGATTGAGAGAGTCTGGCGAAGCAAGCAATGATGCAGCAGCAGCAGCAGAACTGGAAGCAGGAGAGGGCCAGTTCCACTGTGGGCCTGATGGAAGCCCTCCAGGGTCCTGATCTGGCCCCCGGGCCGCATGTGTCATATCCCTGCTCTACATGGAACTGTGTTTCAGCCCCCTTCATTCCAAATGGGGACAGCCCAGGTTCCCAAAACACACAGAGTGGCTGAAGGTGCCGCTGAGATCTACGGTCACTTTCTTCCAACAGAGTCAATTCCACAAGAATGGCCATGTTCAAGTCAATCCTGTGTTTGTGCAGAGGTAAATCCCAGTTGGCTGTAGCCAATGTTTGGGGGATTTTTTTGCTTATTCCCTCCCTCCCAGTGCTATTCCTGGGGTACCCCGAACCCTGGAAGATGGCATTTCAGGGGGCAAAAGGAGCTGCAACAGGAAAGTGGAGGCAGGAATGTTCTGCCCCACCAGCAGAGTTCATCGGATACAATCCATTGCGTTTGGGCTCATCTCAGAACTATGAATGAAACCAGAACACACAGATGAAACCGGAGGGACTGAGCGTTACAGACGGCTCTCCTTAGGAAGGATCAGCCAGGAAACCAAAAGGTTGAATCTTTTCACTGAGCCCCACAGTCAAGGTGCAAATTAACACACATTCATCATGGAAAGGCCGCCAAGCAAAATGCCAACTGAAATTGCTTCCAGCACCCGATGCCAAACCACAGGCTGCCTGATGGGCTAGCGGGAAAACTAGGGAAATACCAGACTCTGCGAATGGCAAGAAAGCCTCCAAAGACAGGGCTCGAGGGCAGGGCAGAAATGTCACAGGTGCTGACAAAAAGGTGCCCGGTGGGATGCAAGGTGGCAGCGCCAGAGCACCAGAGTGACGCCTCCATCAAGACCAGGCAGCCAACACTCGTGGCAGAAGATTTCGGCGTCAGACGTTCACCTCCTGCACGACAGCCAGACTGGTCTCGTGGAGCTTTGCGATCAGCGTATCGGGGTGGTGGGCAGACAGGCACATGATGGCGTTAAGGCCTTCCATCTTCTTCTCCCTGCCAACGAGAACACAGAGCAAGCCACGTGGGTGAGGGCAGGGCGGGCCAGGGCACCCCCTCCCCCTTGGCACCGAGACCCATATCTAAATTTGAAAAGATCCCCAAACGTCCCCAAAATGTTTCAAAATGGCGCCTGCTAACATTAAAAGACAAGGATAGGTTAACAGCAGTGTTGGTCTGGGGTAGAGCAGGCAGGACTGAGTCTAGCAGCCCCTTAGAGACCCACACGGTGTTTTGGTGCACAGACTCAAGTCTGGCCGTGTGGCGTCCTTCCTACTGGGGGGACCTGTGTTTCCTTTAAATCATACTCTGTGACATGCTAGCTAATGGGGGAAACGGATCTACTTTTTAATTCACACTTTGTGTATATGAACTCGGTAGCCTCTACTGCCACCAGGAACTAAAAAACACAACTCTCTCTCTCTCCTTTGGTAGTGTGACCCAGGGTCTGGGCACTTCAGAGGACTATGTGGCCCTGAGGAAATACTGTACTGAATTCTGGGATATTTAAACAAAAATGTATTTATTGAAATAAGAACAAAATAGGTTTCTGGAAAAAAGGAACGTGTAGAACATAACTAGTCGGCTTGATGTCACACCAGTCTCTCAGACACCAAAATTCCCTCTGACAGGATTCTCTCTGTGGTGTATTCAATCTGACCAAAGTATGTCTGTGAACTCTGTCATTGAAACACCATGTGAAGCTTTCATCCTGGGCTAGGATCCTAATCCCTCACTTGTAATTGGTAGCCCAGGAAGAACCGACCAATCACCAACAGCCAGTACCAAGAGCGAGAACTATTGTGATTGGACCTTATCCCTGCAACTTCATAGGTTGATATTGTATAATAGGGCGTGGCTACATTAGCCGGAAGAGTTTAAAAGTAGAACAGCTTCAATGTAAAAGCTGTTCTGGCTATTCATGTTGATCTGTTTGGAGTTGAGTTACGAGTTGCTGAATAAAGCTGATCTTTTGCTGAAATCACTCTCGGACTCTTTGTTAAGTAACCGACTTAACACTCTCTCTTTCTCATATGTGTAGCCAACCCGGCTAAACTCTTTGACTTTTCCACACAAGATAAAACATTGGTTTAATCACATAGTTTAGACACAGCTTATTTCTTTTCCATAAGGACTCTCCCACAAAACTTATAGAGTTCCACAGACTCTAGCGCTTTTCACACTTTTATTTTATTTATTTATTTATTTAGAGTATTTTTATCCCACCCTCCCCACAAGCAGGCTCAGGGCTTCACTCTCCAAAGACACACAGAACACTGAACTCTGTCATAAAACACACACAGATTAATCCTCTCAGAACATCTCCTCCCACACTCTCAGTCATCAGCCAATCACAACACACACGTCTCCCCCTGTCGCCCTCCTGGCATTACTGCAGTCAAACGAACATTTAAAGGAACACACACACATCAAAACAAGGAATCATTACAGGCTGTTCTACTGCCGACTGACAGGACAGCCCTCTGAAACTACCTTCTGAGGTTACACTCGAGCCCAGCAGCACCTGACAAGATTTTGGGGGTATAAGCTTTCAAGAGACAAGGATCTCTTCGCCAGATACTGCCAGATACTCCCTTCGTCAGACAGGTATCTGACCAAGTGAGCGTTGACTCTTGAAAGCTCCTACCCCTGAAAATCTTGTTGCTCTCTGTAATAATTCCGTGTTTTGGTGTGTGTGTCTTTAAATGTTAAGTTTGACTGCAGTAATGTAAGGAGAGCGATAGGGGGAGATGAGTGTGCTGTGACTGGCTGATGACTGAGAGTGTGGGAGGAGGGGTGTCTGAGACGAATCTGTGTGTGTGTTCTTGGGAGAGAGACAAGTATGGAAAAGTTCTGAAGAGAGTCTGTGTGACTCTGAGAGTTATGAAGGATTCTGTGTGTGAAGTTTGAAGAGAGAACATAGTCTGTGTGGCGATAGAATTTGGAGTCTAATTCTGTGTGAATAAGACCAACAGTTCAGTCTGAGTGACTAAGAGAGTTGATTCTATTCAGTGTGAATAAAACAAAGAGACTAGCTTGTGTGGCTATATATAGGAGTGTATAAGGCTGTCAGAGTGGAGTCTGAGTGACTGTTTGGAACACCAAGTTTTGCCAGTTATATTCACAAGTTCCTTTTTCAGTAACTGTTCAAAATAACCAGAAACCTATTTTGTTCTTTATTAAATAAATCAAAAAAATTTTAAGCTTATCCCAGAAATCAGTACAGTTCTTCCTCAGGGCCACATAGTCCTCTGAAGTGCCCAGATCCTAAGTCATACTACCAAGAGAGAGAGAATTGGATTTTTTAATTCCTGGTGGCAGCAGAAAACTACCAAGTTTAGGTACACAAAGAATGTTTAAAGGTGAAACCGTCTCCCCAATAAGCAAGAACATCACACTCTCCAACGTGCTAACGGGACTCAAATCGAGCTATTAAAAGCAAAGATGCCTTTCCCCTAGCCCAGTCCCCAGTCCAGATGCTCAGGATGGGAAATATCGTTTCCCTTTTGGCCCTAACAGAAACCCTGGAATGATGAAAAGAGAGCACTTGGCACCGCACACATACCAATCATCATCGACGAGATACTGCAGTGCTTCTGAAAGAGCCACCTCCGGCTTGGAGAAAGGCCTCAGTTCCGTGGGTCCCACGATCTCTGTGCTGCGCGTGATCAACAGCGTCCCGTCCCTGAACGGCATCCGTGCACCTGCTGAGATTCCACCTGTGAGCTCACTGCCTGGCTCGAACAGAGATGACTAAGGAACTTCCATGGCTAGAGGAAGCTGGTTGACGTGTTACGCAACAAGGGTGCGGCTTCATGGCTGGACAGGGGTGGACGCCGCCACAGCACCAGGTCGCGAGGAAAGCCCAGACCCCCCAACGTCAGAAAGACTTACAGAGGGACTCGCATTCTGCCTGCATCTGGAGAAGTGAGCCGTGACTCACGAAAGCTCCTCCCCTGCCACAAACTTTGTTACTCTTTAAGGTGCTCCTGGACGCCGGCTCTTTTCTACACTCTAAAGTCCATGGGAGCCATGGAGCCTTCCCAGCAAGGCTTCTAACTGCTGTTGGAGAGCTGAATCACTGTGCAGATTTTTAACAATGTTGCTTTGCCACTACAGCACAAAGATCTTCCCAGTGGGACTGAAGATAAGCTGCAGCAGCCATTTTGTGCCTGGCTCCGCCTCCCGCAGCAGCCATTTTGTGGCTGCACCCATCATGCTGCGTCAGAATTCCAAAAGTGCCCAGGGGTCAAAAACATTGGGGACCCCTGCTCTAGGGGCCATCCACCTTTGCAATGGCGCACACACACACACACACACACCGGGTCGCATTACAAAGCGTTACCTGATTCTCCAGGGGCTGCAGCCTGCGTTCGTTTTACACTTGAGGTTCTCTTCAACAGAGGAGTGAAGGACGCATTTCCTAAGGGCAAAGAAGCAGCTTTGGTTACTGGCAATTCCCCACAATTACTGAAGGGCTGCCTGGTGTTTGTCTTAATCCCCAGAAGTCAAAGGCAAATAATAATAGACCAAAACATTGAAAACACGGAACAGCACAAAGAGGAGGAGCATTTGGATAATGGGAAGGTGCTCAGTGGTGGCTCAAGTGGCCTTTGTGGACTCTGAAAGAAGGTTTCAGAACGAGGATTCCAGACTTCTCCTCTGGGAAGGCAGCGCAAAGAGGGGGAAACCAGCGTCAGCCCCCCCCCCAGACATAAGGAGCCTCTCTGGAACCCAGCCCTGGGGGCCTCCCTAATGCTGGGAAGCCACCTGAAAAGTTCTCTTTCAGAATTTAAAACAGAACAAAACATGGATTACTCGTTTCCGGTGCCATCTTTTCAGAGTCATTTTGCTTCAAGAGTTCCCAAGGGCTCGGTTCCTTCCTTTCGAGATCTCCACCTTCCCGGTGCTCTTTTTCTTCTTTCTTCCTCTGTCGCATTTTTTCCCGAGCGGACTTGGATAGGGCCACCTTCACCTGCACGGAAGAGGGAAGCGGATATTCAGGGGAGGAAGAAGACGAGCACCGAGTCCCCCCTTCCATCCAGCCATAATTTCACCCAGCAGTTTGGTGTAGTGATTAAGTGTGCGGGCTCTGATCTGGGAGAACCGGGTTTGATTCCCCCACTCCTCCACATGCAGCTGCTGGATGACCTTGGGCAAGCCATAGTTCTGTCAGAGCTGTTCTCTCAAGGACAGTCCTTGAAAGAGCTCTCTCAGCCCCGCCTGCCTCACAGGGTGTTTGTTGTGGGGAGGGGAAGGGGAAGGAGTTTGTAAGCCGCTCTGAGACTCTGAGTGAAGGGCAGGGTATAAATCCAATCTCTTCTCTCTTCCCTTCTTCTAAGAGAAATGCCCCTCAGCTCAAAGAGTTTTGGATTAACAGATGATGTCTAAAGAAACAGCTGCCCGATAGGCTTCCTTCCACTTTATTAAGGTCCACTGCACTTTGAAGGCTGCCACTGACAGAGTTGGGCGATGCCCGGCTGAGAGATTAAGAGCAGCAGAGGAGCTTAAAGGTGGCTGCCGGGTAGACACTTGGACCCAAAGAGAGCCCCGAGTTCCGTTTCCCTGTGCTGCCAAGGAACCTGCGTCTAGCACAGCCAAAGGGGTGTCCACACAAGTCTACATGTAGGTGCCACTTTTTTAACATGATGGACTCTCCCCTCAATGCAAGGTGCTGGTTTTGACCTTCAAAGCCCTACATGGCTTGGGACTGGGTACAAGGCTCCCTCTAAGCTGTGGAGTCTTGTGAGCAGAAATTCTACTTTGTGAGCGATTGGCATCAAAGTTGTGAGCGAGCGATTCGGCTACTGCATAATTTAGTTTGCTCTGGAGGCCGCCTTCCTGAGCCGAGACAAAAATGTGTGAGCCGGAGGCTAAAAAGCTGTGAGCTGGCTCACACTAACTCAGCTTAGAGGGAGCACTGGACTGGGGCATCCAAAGGACCGTCTTCTCTCGGACTTTCCTGCCTGGGAATTAAGATCAGAGACAGAGGCCCTCCTGGTCGCCCCACCTATCAAAGAAGCTCATTTGGTGGATGGGTGAGAAAGGGCCTCCTTGGTGGCAGCCCCACAGTTATGGAAATAACCTCCCCAAGGAAGGGTGGGGGGGGGGCACCACTTTTGATCTTCAGGAGGCTGCTGGAGACAGTTTTATTTAGGACGGCATCTGACTAATTTGGTTTTTATTCACTCTGGGCCATGTGCAAAAACCATCACAGGATGAGATCAAGACCCACACCCGAAAATCTGTGCCCCCCCTTTGGGCCAAGTCCCAAATTTATTTATTTTTTCGTATTTATATACCGCCCATCCCATAAGCAGGCTTAGGGCGGGTTACATCATGTTAATAAATGCAATCAAATTTAAAACAGATTATAAACATACACAGGGGGTTTTTTGAAGAAAAAGCCCAGCAGGAACTCATTAGCATAACAGGCCACACCCAACAGCAGGAACTCATTAGCATAACAGGCCACACCCAACAGCAGGAACTCATCAGCCTATTAGGCCACACCCCTGATAGCACAGCTCATCAGCATATTAGGCCACACACCCCATGTTGCCAGAAGTGTGGTCATCCAGCCACACCCACCTTTTGCTTCTTATTCTGTTTACTTTGTTGTCAAAACCCTGGGCTTTTTTTGTAGCAGGAACTTCTTTGCATGCCAGGCCAATCCTAATGCGTTTCTGCTGTTAGCTGTGGCCTATTATGCTAATGGGTTCCTACTAGGCATGGCCAGCTCAGGAGCCAGCCGGAACGCCGTTCCTGCCCCAAAATAGCCCTGAACATATAAAACCAGTAGTTGCCGCTTGTTGGGAGATTCTGGCCCACTGGTGTCACTGGATCTGGCCAATTATCAGCAGGTGGGTGACGGCAACTTCGGGGGGGGGGGGCGTGAGTGGATGCCCGCTGCCTCAGTCAAAGGCCTGGCGGAAGAGCTCCATCTTACGGGCCCTGCGGAATTGGGGAAGATCCCGAAGGGTCCTGATCTCAAGTGGGAGTGTGTCCCACCGGGTGGGGGCCCGGGCAGAGAAAGCCCTGGGCTAGGTGGACGACCTTTGGGCCAGGGATCACCAGGAGATGTTGACTGTCTGAGCGTAACGCTCTCCGGGGCATATAAGGGAAGAGGCGGTCCCCCTTAGGTATGTGGGTCCCAGGCCGTGCTTTGGAGGTGATGACCTATCGCAGGAAAAAGCTCCCAACCACAGTAACCGCCATGAGCGGCCAGATTCCATCACGCTGCTGGAACACCACCAGCCACAGCCTTTCTGACACCTTTCTTACAAGCCGCAAAAGCCTTCTCTTACATCTCTCTCAACGTCCACGTCCAGGTCAGGTGCAGGGTTCTGCTGCGGGACGGCTCTCCCGTAGATCCCCGAAAGAGGCTCCACGCTGGCTTTGAGGGAAGGCGCGTCTCCATTCTCCGCCGGGAACGTCAGCGACTGGCCGCAGGTGAGTGAAGCCGAAGGTGAGCTTTCAAACATCCCTGAAACACACGGCTTATTGGGTGGCTGCGAATGGGCCAAGTGATATTCCAGCACACAAACGATTGTTTTTTTAAAAAATCACGGGACAGCAGGCAATGAAAAATAAGCAGGATTTTTGTTTTGTTTAGTGGAAGGGATTCAAACAACGCAGGGCAGCGCCGTCACCAACAGCACAGATGCTTCCCTGGGCCCCTCGCTGCCAGCAGGGTGCTCAAAGGAGAGCCGCCGTTTGCAATGTGGTTAAATGGCTGCAGCGTTTTTCTATTCCCGGCCAAGCTAGGAGAATGTTGGCACAACTTTTTATGATCTGCCCTTCCACAAAAAATGAAGGTTGAGTTGGGTGGGGGAGCCCACAACAGAATCAGCGCAAGTTGTACCTTTCCCAACAATGACTACGGAATCCTCCGCCAAGGCACTCGGTGAGACGAAGCCTAGACCGTCCAGCTGCTGGAAACTCGAGGAAGGCCCCGCAAATCCTAAGGAGACAGACTGTTGAGTTACTAGGGGTGCCTGTCAGCAAGCTGCCAATGTGTTTCCCTGTAAGCAAGCTGCCAATGTATTTCCCTGTACTCTGTGTATGCTCTTATGTTTCACTATGCTCTGTGTGTATTCGTATGTGTCCTTATTCTTTGGGTATGCACTTGTTTGCTTTCACTTTCCCATGCATGCCTGTTTATACGCTTAATTGCCTAGTTGCAGGAACATCCATATCTCTCAAGGCCACAGGTGGTTGCTGGCGGGTAGTAGCTTGGGTGATCTCATGGCCTTATGCATGAGAAGCAGTATGTTATGATTAAGTAGGAGCGTTGCTTCCCAGGCTCAATGGTGTGCGCGGGAAGTCCCGCAAGTGGGCCTGTTTTCTGAATTAACTATAATCTATTGGGATCCATGCTTATGCCTCATTCTCAACAGTGATCCTGTTATGCACCTATTGCTTCAAATAAAGGAAAACCTTTTCTACAAGTGTGTTCTTCGTTGATGTGATGGGAGTCTGACAGTGCCTCTAGACTGCCTGTCAACTGATCATGGCACCCCGTTTGGCCAAAGCATTATCTTTCTCCATTGTTCTCTTTGGAAGCTCAAATTCCAGGAAGTGGTGGCCAACACAAGAGCTAGAGGCTACCCTCAGACATGCCCCCAGAAAAGAGGGAACGGCCCTCCTCCACGGCACTGCAAAGCATTTACCAAAATCTTGGTGAGCACAGGGCACATGTGCCCACCAGAGTCCTAAAGAACTCTGGGTTGGGTCCAAAGCATGTGTCTCGACTCCTCACCCCTCGACTCCCTCCCAATACTAGGACTCAAGAGCCAAAGCCAGGTCAGACAATCTTACCAGCTGCCTCAGCTTTTCAGGTAAGAGCATAAGAGAAGCCAATGTTGGATCAGGCCAATGGCCCACCTAGTCCATCACTCTGAGTCACACAGTGGCCAAAAATACCAGGTGCCGTCAGGAAGTCCCACCAGCGGGGCCAGAACTCCAGAAGCCCTCCCACTCCCCCCCCCCCAAGCACCAAGAAAACAAAGAATCCCTTGCACCAGACAGAGTATTCCACCTAGACCTTGTGGCTAATAGCCACTGATGGGCTTCTGCTCCATGTTTATCCAATCCCCCCCGGAAGCTGTCACCACTTCTTGCAGCAGTGAAATGGATAGGTCTATCAGTGGCCACTAGGTGTGGTGACTAAAAGGAATCTCGACATTCAGAGACGGCCAACCTCTGAACCCCAGTGCCTGGAGGCAATGTCAGGGGAAGTCCGTAGCCTCTACACTCTGCTGTTGGCCCTCAAGAGCAGGGGTGTCAAAAAATAAGGCCCGGGGGCCAGATCAAGCCTTATGCAGCCTGCAAGCATCTAGTGCAAACGAGGGAACAGGAGACTGCTGGGGGGGTGGAGCCACCCCGATTGTGGCTTCAGCATGGTGTGACAACTTTGTCTGCAGCAGTCAGACAGAGAAGGACCCTCCCTAGTCTGATCCAGCAGGGCTCTTCTGGGGTTCTTAGCAGGGGGAAGGCCTCAGCCTCCATGCACTGTTGTTGGCCCTCCAAGGGAACTGGCTGGCCACTGCGTGAGTCAGGCTGGTGGACTAGATGGACCCTCCCTGGTCTGATGCAGCAGGGCTCTTCTGGGGTTCTTAGCAGGGCCTTAGCCTCCATGCCCTGTTGTTGGCCCTCCAAGGGAACTGGCTGGCCACTGTGTGAGTCAGGCTGGTGGACTAGACGGACCCTCCTTGGTCTGACCCAGCAGGGCTCTTCTGGGGTTCTTTAAGAGGGATGTGCTGTGGTGGACAGAGAAGCCCAGGGCCGGAAGGCCAGTGAAGGCCAGCAGCGACACACACAGCAAGCCGGGTTAGTGCCGGAGAAGGGTGCGAAGGGAAAGGGGCCTCAATCCAGACAATGTGCAAAAGTCTGCTCTCTACTTCTGGCTCCCTGAGCAGCCCTCCCTCTCCGTTCCATGGCATCCACAACTCACCTTTTGTGGACCTGCTGTGCCTTTGGTGCTCTTTGCTCTGCCCTTTCAAGGCGACGGGCATCGCTGCTTTCTGCCGGTCATCCTCGTAATCTCTCGATCCGTTGCTGTAGCTGAGATACTGACTGCTGACGTTCATGCTGGAAGCCACCGTGTCGCCAAAGACGGTCCCTGGAGGACAGAGCCCACAGCAAAGACTCACGTGAGGATCCCCAACAAGGGGCCTTTGAGTGAGACATTCCTGAATCAGCTTCAGCCATACCCTCACAATATAAAAACGCGTGGGCACTCCATGAAATGGCTGAGGAGACGGGTTAGAACGGACTAAAGGAAGTCCTTCTCCACCCAAAGAGTGATTCACACATGGAATTCACTGCCACAGGAGGTGGTGGCAGCTACAAGCAGGGACGGCTTCAAGAGGGAACTGGATAGATCTGGAGCAGAGGTCCCTCAGTGGCTATTAGCCACAACGTATAGATAGGAGCTCTCGGTCTGGGGCAAGTGATGCTCTGTAGTCTTGGTGCTTGGGGGGGGGGTCAACAGTGGGAGGGCATCTGGTGTCCTGGCCCCACTGCTGGACCTCCTGATGGCACCTGGTATTTTTGGCCCCTGTGTGACACAGAGTGTTGGACTGGATGGGCCATTGGCCTGATCCAACATTGGCTTCTGTTATGTTCTTGGTGCTTGGGGGGAGGCAACAGTGGGAGGGCTCCTGGTGTCCTGGCCCCACTGCTGGACCTCCTGAGGACACCTGGTGTTTTTGGCCACTGTGTGACACAGAGTGTTGGACTGGATGGGCCACTGGCCTGATCCAACATTGGCTTCTCTCTTATGTTAAGAGCAAAGGTCCATCAGTGGCTATTAGCCACAAGGTACAGATAGGAAATCTCAATCTGGGGCAAGGGATGCTCTGTATTCTTGGTGCTTGGTGGGGGGCAACAGTGGGAGTGACCTTGGGCAAGCCGTAGCTCTGATAGGAGCTGTCCTTGAAACAGAGCAGTTTCTGCCAGAGCTCTCTCAGCCCCACCTACCTCCCAGGGTGTCTGTTGTGGGGAGGGGGGGGGGAGAGGAGTTTGTCAGCCGCTCTGAGACTCCCTTGGGTAGTGAAGGGCCATGGGGTATAAATCCAATCTCTTCTTCTTCTTCAATATCAGCCTTGGCACTTGGAACAGAAACAGCCCAGCCCTGTCTACACTCCTGGGGAAGTTTCGTGCTGCTGGGAGCACCTCTGCCCCTCAACCCAGCACTGAAAACAACCCAGCAGAAGCCCATCGTCGTGGGGCCACTGTTGAGAATCCCTTTCAGCCGTCCCCTGTATGGTTAGCCACTCCAAGCACCACCTTCATCAGCAAGAGCGTCTGAGACCCCACACGAGCACAAAGGCTTTGCCTTCACTAGATCGCCTCTCTCCTCCGGCAACCGATGGGATACCTGTGCCAAGACTCTGTTCTCGGACGATGGGACCTCGATGCCGTGATGGTGAGATTTTCATGGGCCGGGAGCTGCCTCCTAGAGGGAAAATGTCTGACCTGTCAAAACAGAAAAGACGTCCATCAATATTCTTCTCTCGCAGAAGGGGCTTCAATACTGAATGTCTTTCAAGAAGAAGAAAAAGAAGAGGAGGAGGAGGAGGAGATTGGATTTATACCCTGCCCTTCACTACCCAAGGGAGTCTCAGAGCGGCTTACAACCTCCTTTCCTTTCCCCTCCCCACAACAGACACCCTGTGAGGCAGGCGGGGCTGAGAGAGCTCTGACAGAAACGGCTCTTTTTCAAGGACATCTCTTATCAGAACTACGGCTTGCCCAAGGTCATCCAGCAGCTGCAAGTGGAAGAGTGGGGAATCAAACCTGGTTCTCCCAGATTAGAGTATGCACACTTAACCACCATCCCAAACGTGCTTTCCAGGTATGGAGAATCCATTGAAACGGAACTAATTTCTCAAGAGAGCCAGCCTGGGGGACTGGCTAGAATGTCGGCTTGGGACCTGAGAGGGCCAGGCCTGAATTTCAACTCTGCCACAGCATGTTGCTGGGAGACGCCGCAACAGTCATATACTGTCAAGCCTATCCTATCCCACAGGGCAGATTCAAACATAAAACGGAAAAGGGGAGAATGCTGGAAGCTGCTGTGGATCCCTAACTGAGGAGAAAAGTGGGGTACAAACGAAGTGAATAAAATAACAGCAACAAGCGGTGTGTGGAATCAGGTGGGTCGCCGTGTTGGTCTGGAGCAATGGAACAAAGTTAGAGTCCGGTGGCACCGTTAGCAGGCAGAACCCTCCTGCAGCCGCCACAAGACGCCCCTCTTTAAATATCACCCCCCCCCCCCAAATCACTCATATTCTGTACAGCCTGGCCTAGAAGTGGAAGCCAGGTGGAACTGGAACAAACAAAATGGACGCTGGCCAGAGACAAGCCTGGGAAACTATTTTGGGTCGGTGACTCAGAGTTGCTGACTTGCTCACTGATCTCTCCCACCCTAAACGGGATACTCAATGGGTTTCCTGAGAACTCCCCCCACACACACACACCTGGTCTTGCTTGCCCTTACTCACTCACCTTAATTAATGGGCTATTCATACAGCCTGATAGACTCTCTCATTCCATAATCAAGGGTCATCAGAGAACACTTTTAAATTACCATCCAGCAATCTAATCAAGGAACCTTAGCCACACGCATGCAAACTGTCAGGAGTTTCTTCCAGTCTTTGGCCACCCGTGGGAAAGCCATGAAGCCTCTCCCAACAGACTGTCTTACCCCCAAAAAGCTAACAATGGTATTGTGTTAGGGGGCACATACATCAGACTGTCCCAGGGTCAATTTTTCCTATAACTGGATACATTATGCCCAGTGCAGTAGGTGGATGTTCTCAGCGCTAAACATTGCACCCCTGGCTGGTTCGCTTGTGGTCTTCTTCCTCCTCCTCTCCGGGAAACACTGGCCAGTTCTCTCATCAACGTCCGCGGACCTTATCTTTCAGGACCCTTCCCAATCACTATTCCCTTTTATTTCCTCTTAGTTTGTGTCCTTCCCCCCGTATGTTTTGTATGTACGTTGGCTCTTTATTCTTTTTATAATAAAACAGCTTTTCTGTAGTACCACTGTATGTTTACTGAGAGTTCTCAGGGAACAATCCCCACAAACGTTGGTGGAAATCCCCTAGTCACCCCTCTCGCCGGTCTCCCGTCATGCTAGTTTCCCCAACTTAATTAGGAGACATCCAATTGGGGTAACAACACCTTTAAGACCAACAAAGCATGCACACAAAAGCTTATACCCAGAATTAAAGTGTGCTGGTCTTAATGCTGGAAGAAGTGCGGACAAGAAGGCACGTACCTCCATTGCTGGTGGCACTGCCCACAAATGTTTCTGGAAAGAAGTAACAGCCCAAATTAAGGAGATAACACCTCAGAAAACTGCATTTAAACCAGAAATCATACACCTCCATAGATGGGATGAATCAATAATAAGACAACTCTATGGAGACTCTCTCAACACTACTTGCGACAGCCAAACTGACAATAGCAGCAGCTTGGAAGTCACCCTCCTTGGCAGTGTAAGAACATAAGAACATAAGAGATGCCAATGTTGGATCAGGCCAAAGGCCCATCCAGTCCAACACTCTGTGTCACACAGTGGCCATAAATACCAGGGGCCATCAGGAGGTCCACCAGTGGGGCCAGGACATTAGAAGCCCTTCCACTGTTGACCCCCCCAAGCACCAAGATGACAGTGCATCACTTGCCCCAGAGTCCCTATCTATACCTCGTGGCTAATAGCCACTGACGGACCTCTGCTCCATATGCTTATCTAATTCCCTTTTGAAGCCGTCCACGCTTGTACCCGCCACCACCTCCTGTGGCAGTGAATTCCATGTGTTAATCACTCTTTGGGTGAAGGAGGACTTCCTTTTATCCGTTATAACCTGACCGCTCAGCAATTTCATGGAGTGCCCACGAGTTCTTGTATTGTGAGAAAGGGAGAAAAGTACCTCTTTCTCTACCTGCTCTTTCCCATGCATAACCTTATAAACCTCATGTGGCATGATAAATTATGGCAACAGTTCGTTATGGCCAAAATCGCAGACTCAATACAAAGAACACAACAGACAAGCACAGCCCCACATATGAGATCTATTAAAACATGGTCAATGATACTAAATTATATGTCAAGGAAAGAAATACTCCCGGCTAACACCGCATACCACAAGTGGTTACACCTGTGACAAATACAAGGTAATCAGATCTGCTAACAAGGTCAAGCTCTGCACTCACACTCAGAACAACAATGACATCACTTATCAAAACCAATATACCGAAGGGGAACATTTTATCACTTACTAACTAAATGTAGTACTGTACTGGGTAATGTAAAACAAAATATGTGTTATTTGTATATGTACTTTTCTTGTTATAATAATAAAAAGGTGCCACCGGGCTCAAACTTTGTTCTGGTGTGCAGAATAGCTGCTAAGAGCCATTTTCCCTGTATTTTAGATGTTTGCGCCTAGCACAGAGATGGAAAGCACAAAGAGAGACTCCCGGTGTAATTTCTTCTTCTTCTGTGTAATGTTATCAGGTTAATACTCATACAGTACTCCACCTCTGCGCTTCCCAGACTTCCATAAGTCAAATCCTATTGCATTGTCTCCTGGAAGTCCCACTCTAGCAACTGTACGGATTTATCCTATGCAATCTGCCTTGAGCCCCAGTGAGGAAGGAGGCGACAAAGAACATAAAGGAAGTCATTAGAAGGCGAAGACAATGCTGTAAAAGCAGGTGACCCCGACAATTATCGCCCCAGTTCTAAGCTCTTTTCTAAAATGCCACCTGGAACATTTCTGTTTTGTGCATCGTGTGAAATGATGAGGCGGGGAGGGGCTTCTGTCAGGTAGCCCTGTCATAGGTCTGGAATGTGGAGGGGTGCCCTTCCGTTTTCTGTCTCAGCTCTCCCGGCTCACCAACTGTTTGCTATCTTATGCTTGACCTTGTAGATGCTCCAGCTGCAGTTTTACCCGGCTGGGAAAGTTAACGGCTTTTGCTTTGCCTGCTTGCTTTGCCCGCGCGCGAGAGATGTATCCATTGGCTCATGTTTACTGGGGGGATGTTTGATCCTAGTATAAGTCAGAGGCCCTAGTATTGGCGGCCATTCCTGACACAAGCTGTACACATGTTTCTAGTACTGGATTTACCAATAAACCAATTATCTTCTCATGAAGCCCTGTGTTGCGTAACCTGACTAAGGACCCTGACAGCTTCTCGACTTCCTCAGGCAGGCGGCACCACTGAGAATGCCCACAAACGGGTGGATCTTGGCCGTCTGCGGGGCGGTACAAGATTTAGGACGTCACCCTTAAATCGGAAGGAAACTCACACAGTCCTCCCTCCTTGAGGCTCCGCAGAGAGTGGGGATGTCACCGACTCCTGGCTATAGACCCCGCTTTCGCTGTAGGAGCTGGTGCTGGGGGAAGACAAGCAAGAAGGGGACTCGGAGGTCAGGTCTAGTTTCAGGAGAGAGTCTGGGCTCCCCAGGTCAGACGTGCTGCCACTCAGCTTGGCCCTCTTCTTGGCGGCGCTGTTACGCAGAGACCGGAGAGAACTCTGCATCTAAAGGGAAGGGAAGAGACACAGACTGTACACTGCAAGAGACACAAGGAAGGGTGAGTTCACACCGTAGACATCTGCCTTCTTCTGAAGAACTGCCAGCTGCTGGAGAAGTACCGGTCTCTGCGTCCTGCTTTGATACCTCCCGTAGCATCTCATGGGGGCTACTGCAGGAAACAGGATGCAGGACTAGACTGGACACTGGCTCGATCTGGTGGTGGTCGAAAGGGCCAAGTCACGGCGGACATGGCGATCCCACACAGGGTTTCAAGGGGCCAGACAGACAGAGTTACGGTTTGCCATTGCCTGCCTCTGCGTCACGACCCCGGACTTCCTGACTGGTCTCCCATCCGAGTCCTGACCAGGCCCAACCCTGCTTAGTTTACAAGATCTGGCACAACTGGGCCAGCCTGGGCTATCCAGGTCAAGGGACCCGAAGTCAGGTAGCCCTGTCATGCGTCTGGAATGTGGAGGGGTGCCCTCCCGTTTTCTGTCTCAGCTCTCCCTGGCTCTCCAACTGTTTGCTATCTCATTGCAGCCTCCTTCGCCGGGATCCTGGCCCAAACGTGTGGCGGCCTCAACGGGCCCGTCCCCCTCCCCTGCTGGTGCAAGGCGAATCGCATTATGAAGTGGCTGATATATCGGACTCTAAGCTAAACCATAACAAGCTATTTTATTTGATTGAATGGGTGGACTTTGGGCCTCAACACCAAGAGTGGGCGACGGGGAAACATGTTTCAGCTCCCCATCTCCTCAACTGCTTCCACCGCCGCTTTCCAGAGAAACCGGGGGGGGGGGGCGGCTTTGGGAGGGGCAGGATGTCAGGTAGCCCTGTCATAAGTGTGGAATGTGGAGGGGTGCCCTCCCGTTTTGTCACAGCTCTCCCTGGCTCTCCAACTTTGCTGTCTTAAGCTTGACCTTGTAGATGCTCCAGCTGCAGTTTTACTCAGCTGGGAAAGTTAACGGCTTTTGCTGCTTGCCTTGCTTGGCCCGTGTGTGCGAGATGTATCCATTGGCTCATGCTTACAGGGGGGGGATGTTTGATTCTAGTATAAGTCAGAGGCCCTTGTATAGGGGGGCCATTCCTGACACAAGCTGTATACGTGTTCTGTAGTACTGGACTTATTGATAAACAGTTATCTTCTTATGAAGCCCTGTGTTGTGTGACCTGACCCTGACATCCAGTAGGGTTCTTTTTTAATGTCCTTATGAAACAGTGGACAAGTCTACCGCAACTCACGCAGAGGCCCTGCTCCAACAGGAACACTCTTATCTGCTTCCTGGACTCTATACTCAGATTCTCCTTCTCTCACCCCTGCCCCAGTTAATCCCTGTTAAAGCTCTTTCATATATGTTTTAAATGCAGACAAGCAAAGGAAATAGGGCAGGGGGTGGCCAAACTTGCTTAACGTAAAAGCCACATAGAAGAAACGTCAGATGTTGGGAGAGCCGTAAGACATGAAAAAATATTGCACACCTTTTTATTTTAAAATATGCAAATTTGCTTGTTATTAACATTAGACTGACAAAAATAAAAACAAATGGGGTTAAAAACAGATATTGATAATGATATTTATTATTTATTTATGTATTTATTTTTCACACTTATATCCTGCCCTCCCCAGTGGGCTCAGGGCGGCTAACAGAGGCCAGATCATTAGTCTAGCCATAAGTAGAAACATATAAAAATATAATAAAACATCAAAACTAAGATTAAAGTGCTCTATCCAGTTACTAGTGTCCTAGATCCAAGATGGTATCCCCACGACTCGAGCTGGTATTCTCAGCGTACATATCCAGTGGCGACAGCGTTTCTGATGTAATTCCAAGTTCTTCCTGGGGCCCCGTCAATGCATCCATTCAGATGTCTTGACGGTGGTGGTATAGTAGGGCGGCGGCTCCTACTCAAAAGCCTGGCGGAAGAGCTCCGTCTTGCAGGCCCTGCGGAACTGCTCAAGGTCCCGCAGGGTCCGGATCTCCCCCGGGAGCTCATTCCACTAGGTAGGAGCCGCCACCGAAAAAGCCCTGGCCCTGGCCACCGAAAAAGCCCTAGCCCTGATATTTGCAGGCCTGGGGGGGGGGGGGGGAGGAGGGCTTTAAAAGCTCTCTTTTTCTGCTCTCTCCCCCACCTCAAGCCTACCCAGGGAGGGGAACACTGGCTGGGGAAGGGAAGACCGACTTGGGGGGGGGGGCATGCCTTCCCTTTCGCTTCCCCAGCTGCAAAATATGTGTGAAAGAGCCACGTGCAGCTCCCGAGCCGCAGTTTGGCCACCCCTGAACCAGGGTAGCTCTCAGCTGAGTTTTCTAAGGAGCTGTGCAAAGATGTATACAATCAGGACTACATGCCCTCCCTCCATCTTAAAAAAGTAGATATCTTGCATTAAGATAATGTTCAGGTTTGACAAAGGTGCATACCAGTTTATTCTGCATTGCCCTTTTGCTCTCATAACTCACAAAGAGTGACAACACAGCATGAAGACTACTACTGATCCTCTTTCTCACACGCCCGGGGAAATGCCGATTGCCACTTTGGGGTCAGGAAACAATTTTCTCCGGGCCAGTTTGGCCAGGGATCCTGGAGAGTTTTTTGCCGTCTTCTGGGTGTGGAACAGCGGTCACTGGGAGTGTGTGTGTGTGGGGGGGGGGGGGAGTTGTGAATTCCCTGCTGCACTGTGTAAGGAGGTTGGGCTGGATAACCCTGGAGGTCCCTTCCAACTCTATGGTTCTGTGATTCTACCTAGGAGAGGACCAGGCTTCAACCTGAAGCATGCACCATTTTTTGGAAAGAAGCACGGAGATTTAGCAGGTTTGTGTGATGCTGTAATGCCTGCTTTCTGTCAGTAGGTGCCACTGAAGTGCTGCTGGGTTCAGCATTCACCAAAAGCTAACAATCAGCACTACAGTGGCAGGCGGTGAGAGAAAACAGGCAACAGCCTTCATAAAATTAAACATCTGTATTGGGAAGATTTTCAGGAAAAAATACAAAAAACTGTAGCAGGAGATGCTTTTGTTTGCACACTTGTCAATCCAAATGGTCAGTCCTCCAGGTAAAAAAAGGATTTCAACCAATCCATAAGAGCATAAGAAGAGCCCTGCTGGATCAGACCAGGGAGGGTCCATCTAGTCCAGCCTTCTGTCGCACATAGCGGCCAACCAGTTCTTCTGGAGGGACAACAGCAGGGCACAGAGGCCGAGGCCTTTATAAGAACATCAGAAGAGCCCTACTGGATCAGACCAGTGAGGGTCCCTCTAGTCCAGCCTCCTGTCTCTCACACAGCGGCCAACCAGTTCCTCTGGAGGTCCAGCAACAGGGCACAGAGGCCGAGGCCTTTATAAGAACATCAGAAGAGCCCTACTGGATCAGATCAGTGAGGGTCCCTCTAGTCCAGCCTCCTGTCTCTCTCTCTCACACAGTGGCCAACCAGTTCCTCTGGAGGGCCAGCAACAGGGCACAGAGGCCGAGGCCTTTATAAGAACATCAGAAGAGCCCTACTGGATCAGACCAGTGAGGGTCCCTCTAGTCCAGCCTCCTGTCTCTCACGCAGCGGCCAACCTGTTCCTCTGGAGGGCCAACAACAGGGCACAGAGGCCAAGGCTTTCCCCTGATGTTGCCTCCTGCCACTGGGGTTCATCCTGTCCAACCCCCCTGCACCATGCAGGATGACCTAAAGCTTACCTAACAAATAATCGTCCACATCTCCGCTTAAGCATCTCCAAGGAGGGAGAACCCACCACACACCCCCAGGCAAATCCCACCACTGAATTTCCCTTATTGTTCAAAAGCTTTTCCTGATATCCCGCCGATGTCTGTAATTTAAACTCATTATTACGAGTCCTGCCCTCCTCTTCCAACTGAAGCAGCACCCCGCCCTCCTCTAAATGACAGCCCTCCAAATACTTTGAAAGAGCAATCCTGCCTCCCTTCAACCTCCCCTCTTCTCCAGGCTGAACATGTGTCCAGGGAGCCCTGTCATAGTTCTGGAATGTGGAGGGGTACCCTCCTTCTCGTTCTCAGTTCTATCCTGTTCAGCTACTGTGTGCTATCTTATGCTTGGCCTTGTAGATGTTCCAGCTGCAGTTTCCACGGCTGGGAAAGTTAACGGCTTTTCTGCAATGCCCGCTTGCTTTGCCGCGCACGCGAGTTATAGCCATTGGTTCATGCTTACAGGGGGAATGTTTGATTTCACTATAAGTCAGAGAGGCCCTGGTACTGGCAGCCATTCCTGACACTTTGTCAGGCTCCTCAGTCAGGTCACACCACACAGTGCCTGACAACATTCCTGCAGAGTCGGCTGCATACACTCCCTTCTCAGTAAAGCCCAGTGGGTAAGACAGGCAAATCCCTCCATTCTCAACAGTAAAAAATAAAAAGCATCCAAACTCCCACCTCCTCCTCCTCATCGAGCTCCTTCTCGTTGATGTCCAGCTCTGACAGGTCGATCGCCAGCCTCCCGTCCCTCGCGTTGGACCAGGTGTCTTCCGGCTCCCCGTTCTTGTGCCCCATGTCGCGGAATCCTCCCGCTCTCTCGGGCAAGGGGCTCACGCCCCGGGGGATGGGGGGCACTGGCTTGGTTCCGCTCAGGCCCTTCCGTGAAGCCGGAGATCTCACAAAGGCGGGTTTCAGCTGGATCGGAGGGGCGTCCTGGGGCTTTGCCTCTGCGTGAGGAGAGAAAGACGTGTGAGATTTTAAGGATAAAGGAAGACATTTGGAGCACATCCTAAGCTTCCCTCCCCTCGTACGAGGGGCTCTCCTGCTCAAGGGTTTCCACCAATGCCTTCCAACCACAGAAGAAGAAGGAGGAGGAGGAGGAGGAAAGTGGTGGAGGTGGAGGAGGAGGAGGAGGAAAGTGGTGGAGGTGGAGGAGGAGGAGGAGGAAAGTGGTGGAGGTGGAGGAGGAGGAGGAGGAAAGTGGTGGAGGTGGAGGAGGAGGAGGAGGAAAGTGGTGGAGGTGGAGGAGGAGGAGGAGGAAAGTGGTGGAGGTGGAGGAGGAGGAGGAGGAAAGTGGTGGAGGTGGAGGAGGAGGAGGAGGA